TGTTTTCACTGCTAGGACAGGGGTGATGGGTAGAATGTGCCTCAGAAATACACATCGTGGGCTGATGGAATTAATCAGAACTAATAGTTTTTATGTCTGCTTTTGTTTGTGACTTAAACTCAGTCTAATTTTCTTCCACTTCCTCCCTGTGTAGGATCATCTGGCAATGCTTCCTGAGCCTCCTATATTCTTAAGGGGTCATGGCTTGGTTCACAGGAGGAGAATGTGCTGGGAGGTCTGGAGGCCCTGTGGCTTTGGTCCAGTTTCCCACCCCTACCAGGTCTCTGTTTTCTCATCTCTAGGATGTGGGGTTGTATGGAATAGCTCTGAGGCCTTTCTGGCCCTGTTTTACTTATAGGGAAGTGACCCAATACTGGGCTGGGTAGGTGACCCAATACTCTGTCACCTGGGATGCTTAGGTCAGGCCTGGCCTCTTTGGGGAGAAGAATGTTTCAGGTAGGTGTAATAGCTGCGTTGCAAACATGGTCCCAATTCTTCACACTCACCCACCATGTCCTTTGGGATGACATTATGCGGTTACTTCACCAAGAGGTGGAGCTTAGCTGGGTGCTGGTGGCTCATGCCTGTAATCCTAGCTGCTTGGGAGGCTGAAGTCAGGAGGACTGAGAGTTAAGGGCCAGTCCAGGTAAATACCAAGAGATTCCATCTCCAAAATAACCAAACCAAAATGGACTGGAGGTGTGGCTCAAGTGGTAAATCACCTGCTTTGCAAGTGTGAAGTAGAGCTTATTCCTACTATGGGAAGGAGGTAAGTGTGTGTGATTGTTTTGAGTCAGGATTCAATGGACCTTGACTCATTTGCTGTCTTTCTTGAGACCTACTGTGAGAACTAGCTTAGGCGAGCCTACAGGAGGATGTCATTTCAGATGATGCCTACCTAGACCAACCAGTACCCTGCTAATCCACCAGCATGAGCAAGGCTAGCCTGGATCAACCAAGATCAGCCCCGATCACCAGAGATTAGCCGGGATTAGCCAACCCCAGTCTAGATTAGCTAAACCCAGTCCCTGGAACAGCAGAGCCCAACTTGGACCTGTTAACTTCCAGTCAGTCTTCTGTTCTTAAAAAATAACATGTGTTGTTTCCAGTGTCTATATTTTGGGGCAATTGGACATTTGGAGTCCCTCTGTGTCCTGATCACTTAACTATATCTCCTCTTCTGGGCTGAGGCACAGCCTCTCAAGTTGAACTGCTGTGATTCCAAGTTGGGTTTCTTTGTGCCCTCCCTTGGGGGCGGTGGTCTTGGTTCTCAGGCAAGGATGGAAGGACCAAAGTAGATGGCTTTGGAAAGGACAGTGAAGCCCCAGGGTGAGCAGGTTCTTGCTGCCTGACTTGGGTGGACATCTCTATACAGGTCCAGCAATAGAAATTCCTTTTTTATAAAATTTAGTTTTAATTTTTGAATCCAAGTTGTATCTGCACCTGAATTAAAGAATAAGATAGCTCCATTTGACATTATAAACGACAGGGCTCTGCCTGCTCCCTTCTGTTCTCAGACACGGGAATTCCAACTTAAAAACGATGATCAAGGTTAGGGATGTAGCTCAGGGGTTCTGTACTTAAGGCCCTGGGTTCTGTCCCCAACACCACACACACACACACACACACACACACACACAAAAAAAGAAAAACAAAACAAAAAAATCCCAAACAAAAGCACCCAATTACCTACCTATCTTCTAAATAGCAGTTCATGTTGCTGCATCTTCGTTGTGACCCTTATCTGTTCCCTTCCTACCACACACCTGCCCTCTGCCTGACCCTGGTCCTCTCAGGACCTTAAGTCATGATTTGGTGAAACTGATAGTCACTTTGATTTGTTTCTATGACTTTGAAAATGCTCTTCACCACTGAACTATGTAGCATACTACGCCCACTTTTACTTTTTATACAACATTTCCCTGCAGGAGTTTCCCAGTGATACTAAAAGCCCCAGGGATGGGGTGGGGTGGGGTAGAAGAGGCGGTTTTCCAAATTCTTCATCCACTTCCATCCCCCCCACCCAGACAGAGAGAGACAGAGACAGAGAAGGAGAAAGAGACAGAGGCAGGCTTGGCCCTGTCTTGGGGACAGAAGTTAAAAGGTCCATGGTTAGGCCTCATTTGCCAGGCGCTGAGGCCTTTGGGCCAGTTCCATCTCCAGCCTCTGCCATAGGACCAATTTCCTCTGTGCTCCCCTCAGCTCTAGCATCTGTTATCATGTATCTCCCTCTTGGTGGCTTTCCTGGGATTTCTCCCACTTCCCCATTTTGGTGGGGCTCAGACTGGGACCACAAATTGTGGACAGGCTTAGGACTCAATAATTAAGTATGACATGGAGGTAACCATGACCCTATTTCTTGCTTCCTTGGCTTTTCCCTCAGGGGGTGACAGTAGTCCAGGACACGTGGTGGGGTTCAGTGCTAGGGGCCTTTCTGAGTGACGACTCTGCCACGAGAGTCTGTGAGACAGATGAAAAGCCTTATTGTGGTGTGTGCCTGTGTGTGGGGGGCCTAGGCTGTGTGACCCCCAGTCCTGTGCACAGCAGAGCTGAGAGATGCAGTCGGGGTGGCAGGCAGCCCAACCTCCTGAGGTGCATGCAGAGCTCAGCTTGTCTGAAGGGTTGTAACTCAAAGTTACAGATAGGCCCAAGAAAGATGGAAATGTTTATCCACACCAAAACCTGAATAAACCAAGGCCCTGAATAAAGCTGAGGCTCCAGTGGCTTTATTCGTTATCATCAAAAGCTGGGAACAACCCAGGTGCCCTTCAACTGGTGGGCAAACAAGCAGTGATCTGTCTACACAATGGACTACTACTGAGCAAAGAAAAGGAGGGAAGTACTAACACGTGCAGTGACATGGCTGAGCACAAATATAGCAGGTCGAGGGAAAGAAGCGAGATGCAAAAGGATTGCATTTCTGTGACATTCTGGAAAAAAGTGCTGGACAGAAAAACAGATGGTTGTTGCCTGGTGCTGGGGCAGGAAGAGGCATTCACTGCAGAGTGGTGGGAGGACATTTTGGGTTGGTGGAAAGGTTTTATATCTTGGTTGTTATGGTGGTAACATGGCTCTATGAATTTGTCAAAATGTTTACAATCGCATGCTGAAAAAAGGTGAATTTTCCCTATATAAGTTATATTTCTATAAACCTGAAAAAAGTAACAACATAGAGGTATAGTTTGGGTAGTATTTGTAGTGATGGTGTGATGGTGTGGGAGTTTCCAGACTGAGCTGGGGGAAGAGGAAGAGGAACAAGAAAAGAGAGGGTAGGCCAGGTGCTGGTGGCTCACGCCTGTAATCCCAGCTACTCAGGAAGCAGAGATCAGGGGAATCACGGTTCGAAGCCAGCCCAGGTAACTAGCTCGAGAGACCCTATCTTGAAAAACCCATCACAAAAAAGGGCTGGTGAAGGTGAAGTGGCTCAAGGTGAAGGCCCTGAGTTTAAACCACAGTACTGAAAGACAGAGAGAGAGAGAGAGAGAGAGAGAGAGGATAGAGGAGGGGAGGTGGTGATGACGTTGAGGTTCACGGGGCACTGCCTACCCTGCTGAGACGCTCAGAGTGGGGGTGGGGCAGCACTCTTTTTTTTTTTTTTTTTGGTGGGACTGGGGTTTGAATTTACGGCTTCAAGCTTGCAATCCAGGTGCTCTACTGCTTGAACCACACCTCCAGTCCGTTTTGCTCTGCTTATTTTGGAGATGGGGTCTCACGAACTATTTGCCTGGGCTGGCTTCAAACTTCAATCCTCCCCATCTCAGCCTCCTAAATAGCTAGTATTACAGATGTGAGCCACCAGCATCTCTTCCTCCCCACCTTTTTTTTATTGTTTTATTATTCATATGTGCATACAAGGCTTGGGTCATTTCTCTCCCCTGCCCCCCCCCCCTTTTTATTTTCAGTGCTAGAAATCAAACTCAGGGCTTCATGCAAGCTAAGTGAACACTCTACCACTGAGCTATACCCCCAGCCCAAGGACTAGCACTCTGGTATATTCTTTGGGGACACCATGGATGTCACAAAGGAGAGGACCCCCAAACCATATGTTTTCCCCTGACCAGAGGGGAAATAAGGAAGGCCTGAGGAGATGGAACAGAACTGAGTCAGACTGAATTTCAGCACTAGCACTGCCAACTCAGCTTCATCTGTACAATGGGGACAATGTTCCAAACCTCACAGAGCCCAAGGAGGGATGGATGGGATGGCTCTGAGAGAATGCTGGGCCCCGTGAGGGTGGCAGCTCTTGGGGATGACCACTGGCAAGCTCTCACACTTTTGCCTTATTTTTAGAGGCAGGGTCTCACTGGCCTTGATCTGGAAGTTCTCTTGCCTCAATCTCCTGAGTGCTGGGAATGTAGGTGTGTCCCACTATACTCTGCTACTTTTTTTGAATACTTTTTTTTGACATAAGTATATCACAAGCAATATTTGGGACATACTTATGCTAAAAAAATTATGAAGTACTTACTAGAAAGAGTATTTGTTTATTTGAAATTCAAACTTAACTAGACTCCCAGTATTATACCTGACAGGGGAATCAAATTGGGGGTGACATAAGACTGGGACTAAGACTGAAGGTAAGCACAGGGCAAAGCAGCTACTGTATTTCAGCCATCCCTGCAGCTTGAGAAACTCCGGACTTCACCTGGCATCTCGCCTCCTCCAGGCAGCCTCCTGGCCTGGTAGTCACTGTTTGTGCATTCCTCCAGTGGCTTTTGTTCCGGCCCAAAGCTGCCAGGCTGTGTCGTGTCATCACAATCGTAGCTCACTCTTTGGCTCCAGGCAGATGCTCCGGTGCCCTGGAGTCCTATGTTATGTGTGAGCTCGTGTCCCTGCATGGCCAGCAACCAGGACCCGGTGTCCCGGCACAGGCGGTGGGTGCAGTGTGCGCAGAGGGTCCTCTGTGCCTGGCTGGTGGCTGAGTGGCAGCCCTGCTCTTACATAATCAGTTTCTCTCCTCCTTCTTTTTCCACAGCCAGACTTCACACTGAGCAGCTGCAGTCGGAGAAATCAGAGAAAGCGCCACCCAGCCCCAGATTCCGAGGGGCCTGCTAGGGACTCTCTCTTCCTCCTCCCTGGAAGGAAGGAGACCCCGAGGCTGCTGTCTCACACCAGCTCCTGGGCTAAGATGGAATTGGCAGCCACTGTTCTCTGGCTGGCCTCCATCCTGCCAGGCAGATAGGGTGGCTGCTGCCCCAGGAGCACCTGCCCTTTTGCTGCTGCCCCGCTGCTCCTCTGGGGTCAGCCCTTCCTGGATTTGGTGGCCACCTTTGCTAACCTGAGGCCATGTAGGCCCTTCTCAGGCCTCTGTGGACACACCACTGGGGACAGCACCTCTGCTCTTGGGGAAACCCTGTGCACCACCATGCCCTGGGGACTCGCCTGGCTGCACTGTGAGTACTGGGGGTCCCTGGGGACCCGCCCTGGGAGGCCTTGGCCCTGGGGGGGAGCTCTGTGGTAACCGTGACAACAAGGATGTTCTTGCCGGTTTGGTTGAGATGCTTTCCAGCTGGGTTGCAGGCGGCCTTGGGGATGGAGACTCCATGACTGCCCTCTGCCCTGCCTGCTACTGACTCCACACTCAGATGGGCAAGTGAGGCATGAGGCCCTGCCTGGGTGGGTGCAGTCAGTACTAGAGGATGGGGCAGACACTGGGGTGGATGGCAGCATCTCATCTTTAGAGACTCATTGGCACTGGGGAGCAGGGCAGGCCAGAGGTGACAGAGAGGATTTCCATCTTCCCTGGGTGTGGCCCGGGGTGGGGGGTGGCACGAGGGTCAAGGACCCAGATAATGGGACCCACGTAGCCAGGGCCCTGGAGAAGGTAGCCATTCCCCTTTAACCTCCCTCCATAACAGGACAAAAAAATTGTAAAAGTAGAAAGATAATAGCATTGCTGGTAAAAAGAAAAATAAGTTAAGTCAGAAAAAAGAACAGGACACAGAGGGCTTTCATGCCTGCTGGGTGGGAGGCCAGCCCAAGACCCCTGTAGACTCCCAGACTCAACTCACTTCTCTGGTGGTGAGTTTGGAGATTGACTGTCATGATGAGGACCTCGCCCGCCTTGTGCCTCTCAGTCTCCACCACCTGGCTGGGAATTAGGTCTCCAGGAACTGTGTGCTAGGCAATTGAGGGCGGGGTCTAGGGCCCTTGGGGGTTCAGAGAAAAGCCAGATGCACCTGGCCCTTGTGGGGAGACACTGGAAAGGGTCAGACACTCAGAACGGGCAAAAGACCTTACCAGACACAAAGTTCTAGAAGCTTCCAGGCTTTGAGGAGCAGGAGAAATAGCACGGGAGAGGCGCCACTTGAAGTGGTCTCAGAGGTCAGGCTGGGTGGTTCTTACTCATATGCAGACTTGGGGTAGAGAGAACTGTGTTCCAGGCAGAGGGAACTGTGTGGGCAAAGGCTCAGTGGTGGGACTGGAAGAGGCCAAGCTAGAAAGACGTGGCCCAGGTGACTGAGGCCTTGAACTCCAGGCAGTGTCTGCTTCACCATACAACAGGAAGTCCTGGGAGGCGGCGGTAGGGGCCGTGGTTGGAAGTTTCTCCACTTGGAGTTGCCTTTGGAGCAGGAGGTGACCAGGGTTAGTCTCCTAGGGGAAGTGAGATTCGAAAGGTGGTGGGGAGAAGCTCTGGAAGGCCGCTCTTAGGATGTGGCAAGGATTGGAAGGGGGTGAGGGAGAAGGAGGGGTGCAGGGTAGAGGCTGCCTGGCAGAGGGCTAGGGAGCTGGGGGACATTGGCCCACTGTGTAAATTGGTGGCTTAGAACAACAGAAATGTATTTTCTCCAGTTCTGGAGATGAGAAGTCTGAAATCAGAGTGTCACAAGGCCGCACGCCCTCTGAAGGCTTCAGGGGAGGGTCCTTCCTGCCTCTCCCAGCTTTGGGGGGCTCCTAGTGTTCATTGGCTTGTGGCAGGATCACTTGAATTTGCCCCTCAGTCTTTACATGACCGTTCTCTCTGTGTGTCTTCTTACCAGGGCACCAGTCATTGGGTTTAGGTCCTTCCCTAAATCCAGGATGGCTTCATCTTGAGACCCTCCACTTAATTATCTCTCCAAAGATGTAATTAATCATTACACTAATAACGAGTTAATATTACAATAATATCATTTCCAAATAAGGTCACATTCCAAGGTTCCAGGTGGATATAAATTGTGTGTGTGTGTATGTATGACATTCAACCCATGACACAGGCTCAGATTTGTCTGCTGGGTGTGGTAGTGACAAGCCTCATTTGTCCTGTACAAATGGCCCCTTGGGCCATCTTGAGGAGGACACAGTTCCCCCTCCCCCACTATCACCCAGGCCAGGGACCTGACAGGAAAAGTCTTACTCCAGTCTCCAGCCTCTGCTTCTGTCTTGCTGGTTCTCATGTCTGGGGGTGGGGTGGGGAGAGGAGGAAGAGCCAGGGTCTTCTGACAAGGGTTGGGCAAGTACTGACTGTGTGACTCCTAGGGTTCAGAGTGAGGGGACTTGAGGTTGTGACTGTGCTGTTCCTGTTTGTTCACCTGTTGCTGCTGATGGAGGCATAAGAAAATAATCTTAAAATTTGAAATGGAAGCCTAGCTGTAGACTTGGAGGAAGGGTGTTCTGTCTGGAGGAAGGCAGGTCACCCATGGACAAGGTTTCCAGGGCAGCCTGGGTGCCCACTGTGCTAGGCTGAGGTGTTGTAGGCACCTGCATTGAGATCACAGTTGGCAGGTCCCAAAGGCCCCAGACAGAGACACAGTCTCTAGGGCAGGACTTGGGGGTGGAATGAACAGCCTGGGGTGATGGCCACATGGGAAAGAAGATTAAGTGTGGACAGAAACCCTTTTTTAACAAGAAAAGATAGAGATTTGGATTTTTATGTACAATTCCTGTGAACCAGCTGTAGTTCTTAGGACAACAGCTTGCAGCTGTTGCTCTAGCTTCATGGTTGTCGTGTGTCCCTGGTCCAGTGGCTCCAGCTTCACCCGGGAGTTTGGTACAAAGGCACATTCTCTGGCTCTACCCCACACCTCTGAGTCAGAGACTGGGGTTGGATTGGGCTATTGATACCATAACCAGTTCTCCAGGGGGATTCAGATGACCCTCCTGCTTCCACTGCTGGGGCCAATTCCACAACTCAGGTGGAAGGTGTTCAGTCCACAAGGCCAGCATTAGGGATTCACCTACCAAGTGGTTCCGGTCAGATAATGAGTGAACTTGGCAGGTGGTGCTGGAGACACAGGTTGGTGGGGGCTGGGGTAGTCAGGGGAGACCCTAGGGGTCTGGAGAAGAGTCCCAGTGAGACCTTGAAAGAAGCTTCAGTGTGAGGGGGAGGGCGGTGCAGGGGCAAATGGACTAGACCACTGCAGGAATGATCTTGACCTTTGGGGGTGGGTGCCAGGCTGAGAGGTGTTATGACTCAGAGATAAAGACAGAAAGCAAGCTGATGTCAAAGGGGGACGGGAAACACTGGCTTGCTTTGTGTTCCTTTGGCCCAATTTCATGTCAGATTCATGGGAAGAGAGAAGGAAAGGAAGTGCAAGACATATTGCAAATTTGCCACCTTGCAAAAATGTGATTGCTAGAGTTTTGTGGAGGTGAAGGGCGGTGGCTACAACCTATAGGAGGCACAGGGTGTGAGTAGGGCCTGAGGATCAGGCTGAAGGAGGACATTCCTACCAAGGGGTCCTGCAAGGGTAAAGGACCAAGCAGAGTGGGACTGGAGCAAGAGGGGAAGTGAACAAACAGGTACTGTGGCCCAGGCCAGTGGGAGTGTAAGGACAAAAGTCTTCAAGGTGCTAGAAAGTGAGTGGGGGAAGTCCGAGCAGTGATTCCTACTTATAACAGATGGATCAGGGAGGTGACAAGCCTGCCTGGCTATCTTTGCAGAAAGGATAATTGTTGCTTTTGTCTATACTACTACTACTCACTGTAGAGCATTAAAAAGTTCTACAGAATATAAATCCCTATGGAAATAGGAATTCAGTGCATTTCTTTCTACCACATTTTCCAAACACACATTTCAGCAATTAACAAAATTCAAGTTCTTCAGATAGTGTGGGTTCATGCGGGTTTTTTTGGTGGTTCTAGGGATTGAGCTCAGGGCCTCACACTTACTAGGCAGGTGCTCTACCACTTAAGCCCCTCCCCCAGCCTTGTATCATGCTTGTTAAAAATGTCACTAAGCATAGAGTAAGTATTTTTCTCATCAGGTAAACTACCATGAACATTTCTTGACAATGTGATTTTTATTGGCTACATTCATTATTACGGAATGTCTTGGCCACGTATAGATTGTCACTATTATAAAATAATGCTGCAATGCAAGTTTTGTTTATAAATCTTCCCCCTTCTCTCTGTTATATTTCCATTCCCCCCTTCAAACAGTGTTTGGTGGGTTTCATTATTCTATCTTCATGTGTATCTACATAGTGTACTTACCATAAATCCTTCCTATGTATCTCTTGTTTTCCTTCCAAATTATGATTTTTGTGGGTCAAAAGGATGTGGACATTTGTAAGACTTAGTGGGTTGGAGGATATAAACTTGATTAAATTAATTAATAATTTTTGTTTCAAAATTTCTACTAGTCTGAGATCACCTGTCTTAGTACTTTGGCAGGATTATTAAAACAAAATATGGGCTGGTGTAGTGGTTCAAGTGATAGAGCACTTGCCTAGAAAGGGTGAAACCCTGAGTTCAAGCCCCAGTACTGCAAAAAAAAAAAAAATTGCCATGTGCTGAAGGCTCAGGCCTGTAATTGTAGCTAGTCAGAAGGCAGAGGTCAGGAAGATCGAGGTTCAAAGTCAGACCAGACAAAGTAGTTCGAGAGACCCTATCTTGAAAAAAACCCATCACAAAACAGGGCTGGTGGAACAGCTCAAAGTATAGGCTCTGAGTTCAAACCCCAGTACCACAAAAAAAACAAAACAAAACAAATCACCAAAAAACTCCACAAAACTTTCCATTTTCTTAGATGAAAAATGGTATCGAATTGTTTTAATGTGAATTTCTTTCTTATTAGTGATGTTGATGTTTTGGACTCATCTTTCCCTTTTAAATGTTTTGTTCTTTTTTTCTGATACATTTAACCCCTATTCGTATTTATCGCAAATTCTTTTTTTTTCCTGTTCAGTTATGCACAAATCACAAAGGTTGTTTTTGAGGTCACAGTGACCTCCAGTGGTAAAGACTGGTAATGTTTAAAAGACAGCCACTCAGTTGTTGCAGGTACAAAGAGTATGAAGTGTCCCAGAGCTACTAAACTGGAAGATACTACATTTAATGTAGAGGAATGCCAAGGTCAGATAGAGCAGGAAAGAAGGTCACTTGAGTCACCAAAGAGTCATTTTTAGAGTTGGAACTAGAGTCTATATCTGAATCCCTAGACACAAAAAAATCCAGCAACAGATTTGGAAAATATGTCACTCCTAGACAAGGGGCTGTTTACCTTGGAAGAGATTGTGCCTACCCCATAAGGCAGAGGTTGGGGAGATTGGAGAGCAGCCTTTGGTGCCTCTCTGGGGACTCTGCTGGCCAGGGGTGTGGTGGGCGTGGATCACCACCTGGACTGGCCATGCCTGCCTGTCCTTAATGTTCTGAAGCCCAGAACCCAGGAGAGCATTCAGATTCTGGGTGGCAAGGCCTCCTCAGGGCTCTTTACACCTGCTCCCACTTCTCCCACTGGTACTTGTAACCCTTGAAAATGGCTTTGCACATCAAAGGCAATGTGAACACAGTGCCTGATGCTCATGGGCTCTTGTTGGGTGTGGTCCACAGATCTTGGGATTCTCCTTGGCATGGCTTTGAGGAGCGACAGTTTGGAGGTGTGGTCCTTGACCCAGAATAAGGAGTGTGATGTTACCGGCTACCTGCGGGTCAAGCTGCAGTACAAGAACCGGCTTCAGTACATGGTAACCACACAGGCACCAGCCGTGACCCTGTTCCCAACTCCCATGGCTCACCTGGCACAGAACTCTTGGACCTGTGTTAGCACCAAGGTTATCCTAGATCCCTTCTCCATCAGGGTGCCTGGTTTGCACTTATCACCCCCTCCCATCATCTCCTATGGCCCCATCCCTCCTCCTCGGCCTGACCTTTGAGCCCACCTCCACTTCGTGCTCACCCTATGACTCAGGAAGGAACTTCAGGAAGACCTTGGGAAACTCCAGGCGTTTAGTAGCAGGAGAAATAAAGTCCTACAAACTGGAACATTTGGTTCTTTTTGGAAAGTGGAGATGCCCACATGGCTCTTTATGTTTGTTTTGTTTTGTTTTAGGATCTTGTTATGTAGCCCAGGCTGGCCTTGAACTCACAATCCTCCTGCCTCTACCTCCCATGTGCTGGGATTGCAAGTGTGTGGCTCTATATATCTATTTTCTTAAACAATCTTATTGAGATACAATTCCTATACCATAGGGCTGATGGAGTGGCTCAAGAGGTAGAGTGCCTGCTTAGCAAGTGTGAGGCTCTGAGTTCAAACCCCAGTGCCAGCAAAAAAAATAAAATAAAATAAAAACACATACCAACCCACCCATTTAAAGAATGCAACTTATTGGTGTTTCGTGTGTCCACAGAGTTGTGCAACTGTCACCATAGTAAGTTTTCGAACATCTCCCTCACTCTTAAAATAATGCCTTCCTTGAAGTCGTAGGTCTTTATTCTGGGCTCCTTAACAGGAGCTGTGTGTTTGATTTCACCCTCTCTGTGTCTCAGAGGAAACTGTGTTTAATCCACTTGGGAGCCAGGGCTGCCTTCTTTGTAGATGAATCCCCCTCTGTCCTCATAGGCTGGGCCTGGGCCTCTCTCCTTTGTCAGCATTCATCTGGGAGGCTGGGGGAGCCTGTCTAAGCCGTTTCTGCCTCTGACTTCTTGGTTTGTTCCTGTACCTCCCCAGAAACACTACTTTCCCATCAACTACAAGATCGGCGTGCCTTATGAGGGGGTGCTCAGAGTCGCCAACATCACCAGGCTGGTGAGGATCCTCCCTGCCTCCTGTGACCCCCTGTGGGCCTCAGCCTAAGAGGCACACACATTGGTTTTGGCAGGTTATGCTGCTGTCCAGGGGCCTTTTGCCAGACATTCAAGCCCGCCCTTGACCCAGGTTACCTGTTGTTCACAGTGTGTGCCCTTGTTGATCCCATGCAAGGGGTCCTGGGGGGAAGGTGATCACAGCCCAGAGGCTGGTGTCTGGGAGTTCTAGTGATTTCTCTTGTCCCTGTAGCAGAGGGCCCGGGTGAGTGAGCGCGAGCTGCGGTATCTGTGGGTCTTGGTGAGTCTCAACGCCACTGAGTCGGTCCAGAATGTGTTGCTCGAGGGCCACCCATCCTGGAAGTACCTGCAGGAGGTTCAGACACTGCTATTGAATGTCCAGGAGGACCTCATGGTGAGCCAGAGCTGCTGTGTAAGAGTGTGTGGGTCTGACAGGTGTGGCCAGGGGCTGTGGAGGGAAGAGGTGAGTGTGTGGAAAGTTCTGACATGTCTTGAGGGTATGGGAGAAATGGGGGATGGGTGCAGGAAAAGGAGCCTGAGGAGGGAGGAGGCAGCCATGATGAGCAATGAGTGGGGTGGGCTGGGCTGGGAGGCAGGAAGTGCCTGAGACTCTGTTCCAGGCTCTGGTTGGCTCACCCTGGGGCCAGGGCAAAGCCTCTGGCTTTGTTTCTGTGTCTAAGAAATAAGGCTCCTTCAGACGAAGAGGAAGAATAGTGACATACAGGGGATTTTTAGGCGGTGAAGCTGTGTATAATAGTTTTTCAAAACCAGTAGAGCTGTGCAACACACAACACAGTCAATGCTAATTGACTACAGCGTGAGTTAATTTAAAAAAGTTATATACATATACATATATATATATATATAAAACTTTGTATATAAAAAGGTTCCTTTTTGTTCAACAGAGTTGATCTGAGGCCTCAGGGAACCATCCTTTCTAAAACCTGAGTTGAACTAAAAGGTCATGGGATGAGCTCATCATGTACCCATGCAGGCTCCTGCCCCCACCAGCCTTCCTCAGGTTCCCAGTGCACACCTGTTCCGGGACACACCTGGCCCCCTGCTCAGCCAGCTGCCCGGCTTTCTCTGCCCACAAGGCCCAGCCCACGGCCAGACCATCTGACACCAACTGTGAGCTTCCAGTAATGAAAAGGTTCAGAGCTCCAACTGTTTTTGCAGCTGCTAAGAACCAGACCTGGGAGGGCTCTCTCAATTCAGTTCCCTCAATTCCTGCTGAGGAGGTTGTCCCGGGAATTGGCTCTTTTGTGCCCATGGGCAAGATGGGTACTCTAGGGAAGAGGACCAGGCATGAGAAAGAGACACTTTTCCGCCCTTGGTTTTTTGAGAGGTTCCCCAGGAGCTGGACTGCAGGGAAGAGAGGAGGACGCTGCTCTTCCCATCTGGCCTTGGCTTTTTTTGATTATACACACACAAATATTTTATTTTTATTTTTATTTTTTGGCAGTACTGGTGTTTGAACTCAGGGCCTTATGCTTGCTCAGCAGGTGCTCTACCATTTGAGGCATGCCTTTGGCCCTGATACTTTTTATTATCCAGATGTAGGCAGCTTTTTTTTTTTTTTTGTGGTGGTGGTGGGGATCAAACCAAGGGCTTTGAGCATGCCAGGCAAGCTCAGCCACTGAGCTGCATCCTCAGCCCTGTAGCTTTTTATTTATTTATTTATTATTCATATGTGCATACAATGTTTGGGTCATTTCTTGTAGCTACCTTTTGAATCTCTCTTCTCTCTCACACTGTTAGAAGTCTATGACCTAGCATTTAAGATGGATTAAGTTTAGGGAAAAACCACCCTTCAGATTTTCTTTAGTTTTAAATCTCCCAGTGGTAGTGGATTATAGGAGGTCCAGCCTGGTTGTTGAACACCAGCTTGGTTTCCAGCTGTATAACCTGGAACATGTTTCACTTCTGGGCTTCAGATTCATCATTTGAAAAGGACAAGGGTTGAGATGAAGCTGGAAAATGGATTCGATGACATTCTATCTCTTGAATCTGGGTTCTGTACTGTTCTTGTCCAGTATTTCCCCCTTGCTTTCCTTAAGTTTCCTTAAGAAAACAAAAATAAAAACAAGGTTCTCCATAGAGATTGTAGCACCTGTGCTGAGAGGGAGCTCATTTTACAATATAGAATCTGCCATTTTGACCATTTTTAAGTGCACAACTCAGTGACATTCGTTATATTCACCATACTGTATAACCATCACTCCTGTCCATTTCCAGAACTCCTCCATCATCCCTTCCAAAACCCAAAAACCCAAAAAACTGTGAAGCGGTCACACCTCACTTCCCTCTTCTCTGCACCCCTGGTAACCTGTAACCTTTCGTCGTTATTTATTTGCCTCTTCTAGAAGTAAAGTGGTGAAGCACTCACCCTATTGTGCCTGCCTGTGTGCACTTTGAGTAATGTTTCCTAAGTCCATCCACTGGCCTGGGGGAATGGCTCAGTGGCAGAGTACTTTCCTACCATGTGTGAGGCCCTGAGTTCAAGTCCTAGCACTGGAGAAAAATTAAAAGGTTCATTAACTTAGGAATGAAATTGCTGGGTCAGATGATAACTGTGTTTTATGCTTTCTTTTGCGATACTGGAATTTGAATTCAGGGCTTTGCACTTGCTAGGCTGGTGTTCTACTGCTTGAGCCACACCTCCAGCCCCATGTTACACTTTTTGAGGAACTGCCAGGCTGCTTTTCTGTAAGAGGCTTTCAGAGGAATGGCTTCTGCCTATCTTCAACTTTGAGTGTCTCTGGATGGTACAGTGGCCCTGGGGGACTAAATCTAGAGGACCGTGTGGCTTTCTCCTGATAGAGAGTGGGCTATGGGATGAGACTTCTTTTCACTCCTGTCATCCTTACTCCACTTTGGGTGTAACTTTTCTAGGGCTGCTGTAACAAATTAGCACAAACTGGGTGGCTTAAAACAGAAATTTATTCTTTCACACTTCTGGAAGTTGCAAGTCCAAAATCAAGGTGTGGCAGAGCCATACTTCTTCTGAGGGCTCTGTGTGTGTGTGTGTGTGTGTGTGTGTGTGTGTGTGTGTGTGTGTGTGTGTATGTGTGTGTGTGTCTTTCTTTGCTTTTTTTCAGCTTCTAGTGGTTCAACACCCAGAGTCTTGGCTTGGGTCAGCATCACTCTAACATCTGTCACATGGCCTCTGGTCTGTGTCTCTCTGTGACCTTTATAAAGATACATGGTTGTCTAGCATGGTGGATCCCATCCCACCATGGCAAAAAAAAAAAAAAAAAAAAAAAAACCAACCAAAAAAAACTATTGGATTAGGGTCTACCCTAAATCCAGGATAATGTCATTCTGAAATCCTTAATTACATCTACTCCATTTCTAAACAGGGTCACATTTATAGGTACTGAGGGTAGGGCTGAGATTGTAGCATTTGGGAGGCTGGGGGGCTGGGGGCGGGTGGAGGGGAGAGATACAATTCAGCCCAGATGGCTTGCCTGGGCTGCGGCTACCTTTAGGAACGCCTTCTCCTGGCTCAGGCCCCATGTTTCTCATGATGCCTCTACAATGGCCCCTATTCAGGGACTTCAGGTGCCTAGGATGTTCCCCAGGTTTTAAGCATTGTGAGAGAACCCATCTGAGCTTGGGGCCAGATAGCCCTGCTTGTGTGACTTGTCTAAGTACCCTCATCAAATTCTTCTATTTCTTGGAGTTGATGGAGGTCTTTGCTTCCAGAAGGGCAGTTTTCCCAGATTGGGGTCTCCTCATTGGGTGGTCAGCCATGTGTGGGCTAGAACAGCAAGGAGCCCCCAACTTCTTCCCGTTCTGGGCTGTGCCTTATGGCCATTTTTCCAATAATGGAGAAGCAGTAGTCTCTGTTGTGCTTGGATGACGGACAATGACTGGGACCCTCCTGACACAGCTCACAGGCTCCTGGTCACGGGAAATTTTATCCTTTTGTGACTTGGAGCAGCTCTGGCCCCCTCTCTTTACTGATTCTGATGGCTTCCTCCTCCACAGGATGTGGAGATCAGCCCCAGGTGGAAGCGGTGTTATCTCTCCTGAGTACCCCAAGTCTGAGCCTGAAACTGGTGCGGCCCAAAGCCTTGCTGGACAACTGCTTCCGGGTCATGGAGCTGCTGTACTGCTCTTGTTGTAAGGACCTCCAAGGGTGTGGGACTGGGGAAGGAGGTCAGGAGTCTGGGCCTAGGTTATCAGGCAGAGAGGTGCACCCTCCTGGGCTTACCCTGTGGTACACAGAGTGACAGACCATTTCTGGAAGCCCAGATGGGCCCTGAGGGAACAAGACATATAACTTAGCTGCTGGGATGGAGTGGATGGGGTGGAGCCTTGATATTTTCTGCACATTTTTTCCCCCTCTGTCCTTTGCAGGCAAACAAAGCACCACCCAAACATGGCAGGACTGTGAGGTGCCAAGTCTTCAGCCCCACGGTCCAGAGCCCTTGTTGCAGTGTGCAGCTGCCCAGGTGTACCCTCCTCCCCGGCAGCCCCCCACCTCCTTGCCCTACTTCCCGGGCACAAGTGCTGGTCCCTAGGGCAGAGCACACAGCTGAGGACCATTGCCCTGAGCAGGCTGCGTGTTGACCCTGGATAGGGCCACTGGACAAGTCCCAGGATGGGACAATACTTTGAGGGGTGGTGGTGGGGAGCTCCCTTAAGAGAGGCCCTTGGGAAGGGTGTTTTGTCTTTTGAGGGGAATTCTATGCCACAATTGGGCTCAGCTTCCCACCTTCCTCGAGGCCGCTCCTGCCTGAAGCGGTGCTGTACTCATGTGGCCTCAGAAGTCAGAGTTGTGTCCCTCATGCAGATGGGCAGGGATAGGGGGACCATAGAGAACTCCAGGACTCTTGGAGGCTTTCCAGTTGGGCCGAGTATGGGGTGCTGGGCTGAGGGCACAGAGCCAAATGCCACATTTTGCCACAGTAATGCTTTTGCATTTTTAAATTTTTTCTATTAAATGCCCGCATTGTTTTGTTTTCTTTTTCGTTTGCATTTGCAAGAGTGAACTTGGAGGGGCTGTGAGCCTAGCCAAGTGCAGGAGGTAGGAGAAGGGGTGGGGCTGGCCCTGGTCTGAGGACCTGGATTTGGAGTGGACAGAGCCTTACCCAAGAGGCATTTGAAGACTGAGTGTCTTCCAGGCCTGTCCTAGCCTGCGGATCTCAGCAGGCCTGAGAGGTGTCTGCTGGGTGTGTGTGTGTGATTCCCTTGGCCATTTTCCCTCCTTCCTTCATACTGCCCCAAGACAGTTCCCAGCAGAAGAAAGGGGTATTTCAAGACCCCAGTCCAGGTAGTCCCCTGTCTCTGCATCAGTGAGAACTGGGTCTGGGATGAGAAAGGCTGGGGTGCAGGGGCAGGAAGGGGAGCATGTGAGGAGCAGCAGCCCAGGGAAGCCAGGCAGAGGCCGGGGTGTTAACTACAGTACCACTTTATTAATACTGGAATCTTCACAGTGCATTTGTTACTTGTAGCAGTGACTATTTAAATCGAGGGGAAAATGGAGTGAGGGGGGTGGGGAGGAGAGAATTTATCCAAAAACCGACAGACAGAAAAGAAACGAAATGGTTCAGATGGGATGCAGGGGGTAGAAGAAGTTGGGGAGCAGGGAGAAGAAAGGGTGAGTAGGAACCAGGAAGGACAGCCTGGGGTGGGAAAATAAATTAAAAAAAAAAGGAACAAGTTAACAACAGCACCAGAAAAGTTACTTCAGTCAAAAGACACTTTTGAAAAGAATATTTCTCTGTACAAAGTGAAAAATAAAGACCAACGTAAAGTCCCCCAAACCAAAGTTTGTGATGTGGGATGGTTGGTTCGGATCCCGAAGGGGGTGGGCCTATGAGGTGGTCACTACATGGAAGAGAGGGTGGTGGGGGTAGTCAAGGGGTGGAGTATGTACAGCCCTGGGGGCTCAGAGGGAAGGGGAAGAGAGTGTGGGATATGGTGCCAGCCTCTCTGGGGAAGCCCCAGCCTCCCTTCCCATCAGGGCCCGGAGCCTCCAGGAGGTGGTGCGCTCTTCCTTGAAAGAACCCCTAGGACCTAGCCACACTCAGTGCAGAGGCCACACCTGCTACCCCGCTGCCCTGTATTCCATATCCTGTTTCCTCCTCCATCAACACACTGGGCAACTCCCTCCTCATCCTGGGCACAGCCCGGGGGGAAGGCGCAACCGAAATCTACCACCATGGCCCCACAAACTGGTCCCCTGTTCTCCTGGCCCTCACACCTGGGGCTCTGGTATTTGCCAGAGCTTGGTGGGCTAGGCACTCAGTTCTCAGACCTAGAGACTTGTAGGAGATTCTCTAGCAGCCCTGGAAGCCCAAGGTGGGGCCTCCACCCATACAAGGGAATTCTTGGGTTCTCAGACCTGCCTAGCTGCTCTGCCAGGATCCCAGTTCATGGCACTAAAGCACCCAGGAGCACGAGCCTGGACTGGCCCCAAATCCATTCCATCTGGACCAAGCCAAACTGCTCTCCTGACCCCTGGGAGACACATTACTGCTGCTTTCTCTACTACCCTGTGGCCACTGCAATCCCTCCACTCACCCTAGGCTCACATGCTTTGACCTGCTCAGACTTGGTCTGACTTGGGCATGGAGTGGGAGGTGAGCCCACTCCTCTCCCTGGTCCCTGCTGCCAGCCCAGGTTAGGCCTATGGTGTGGACCATCCTGGAATGGCATCTCCTCTGGCAACAGAGAGTCAAAGCCAATCTCTCTGGACTCGCTCCCCAACACGGGCCTGCAGCTCGCTCAGAACACAGCACAAAGGACTGGAGGTGCTCCAGCCCTGCCTTCTCCAGCCTTATTTCAGCTACATGTGAGACTGCAGAGAACACTGGCTTCTCCCTGGCTTTGGGGGAGCCAATTCCACCCTTCCCATCCTGCCACGGGCCCACGAGGCCACCGTGGGGCTCTCCATCTGTCTCTCAGGCACTCAAAGACACACACCCTGTACCACCGGCTTGCCCCACACAAAGTTCTTGTCTGGGGCCAGCTCCATTTTATTATAGCCAGAAGATAACCCCCCCAATACCCTCTACAGCTCCAGCCCCCACCTCCAACAGTGGCTGAAACTGTGACCCTAAAGTGCCACCAGAGTAAGTCTCAATGTGCCCAAATGAAGATGGGACATGTGAAACAGCTCGGGTGTGGCTGGTCAGGTGACCTCGTGAACCTCTGGATTGCTTTCCCTGCTATCTGCCTGGAGCCTCCCAACCACGCCTCACAGGGCAGGGGAGCTGGAGGGTCTCCCCGGCTTTCCCCACTCAAGGCCCCTACATTTCCTCCCCGAGATGCGGCTTGGTCCCCTCGGCTCTGTTCTTGGTGGGTGGGCCTGGCCAGGCAACATCAACCTGGTCCCTGGACCCTGGTCACAGATTAGACACTCAGCTGCTTGGGCACCTGGCCTCTCCGTGGCTACCCTGCCTCCCGGGATGGAAAGGAGCCTGGGACAGGCAGAGAGAAGGCAAGAGACAAGCAGAGGGGCTCAGGCAGGGAGAGGAGGGAGCCAGCATTCAAGAAGGAGTCAGAACACCGTGGATCTGGGGAGCTGAGTTGTGGACCCCAGGCCAGGTGGGGCCAGGGTGGCAGAGGAAGGCTGGCCCAGCACTTTGTCTTGGGCTCTGGAGCATAGACAAGGTTGGGCCTACAGAAAGTAAAAGGTTGGTCAGAGTAAGCAAGGAAGGTATAAAACAGGCTCCAAAACCAGTTCAAGGCCTGCAGGCTCTGTCCTGACAAGATTGGTTAAGGAAGTCACTTCCTGTTAGACATAGAGATCCAGCCTGGGTGTCTCTTTCTGTAAAGTGGCTTTGCCTCATCCCTGGCGCTGTTCTCTCTCCTGGCTGTGCCATTTCTCAGTGGCTGCTGCTTACAGACCAGGCCACCTGCTCGCACCAGGGCCAGACAGGGTGGGGAGAATGGCGCCATCACAAGATGCGGGGTGCCGACCTGTCGTTGGTGACGGTCCTGCGGAGCCGGACCCCGCGACGGATGGCCACCAGCATGTCTTCAGCTGGGGGATCGCTTGTGGCGGCAGGAGGTGGGGTGGGCGTCTCCTCCGTGGTGGTGGCTGACAGGGCGGTGGGGAAGGGGAACTGGCCCTCACCCAGGGCATGGGCACCAGCCACCAGCTCTCCAAGCTTCTCCACAAGGCTGTGCCTGTTGGCAGCCAACTGCTGCTCGTCGTCGTCCTCAGCTGCCAGCCCGGTCCCTGCCCCAGGGTAGCTGGCTCCCTCTGGGGATGGGCTGCCCCAGGCTGTATTGGGCAGGCTGAGCCTCTTTGGGGAGGCCTTGGTGAGGTCCGGTGCCAGGGGAGAGGCTGCCTCATCTGTGTAGAAGACACACTCCTCACTGCCTGCCCGCGTGGGCCCCACATAGCCAGGGGAGTCAGGCACCGTGGGCGTCTTCACAGGGACGATGGGTGGCCGGATGGGGATGGGGCCAGCGCTGGACAGGGCGCGGCGCACGGTGGGCTTGGTGGAGGGTGTGCGGCGGATGGTGGCCACGCCGGGGGGTGCGCCCGAGGGCAGGCCTGTGGCTGTGGGTAGCCCTGTGGTGGGCAGCCCGGCGGTGGATGCCGGGCGCTTGGTTTGGATCAGGCGGCGGTAGTTCTGGGCGATGTTGCTGTTGCGAGGGATGGTGGATGACTTGTCAAACTCAGGGGGGCCCTCGCTGTCTGCATCCCCGTTCACGGAGTAGCAGTCATAGTCGGAGCCTGGGGGCACAGGGTGCAGTGAGCCTGAGGCCCAGATGCCCCCTGAGCTCTCCCCTCCCCCCACCCCCTCGGGACATGGAGAGGGAAAGAAGGGAACTCTTGTGAGGCCCTGTCCAGGGGTGCAGTCCTGGGGCTGCAAAGGCCCAGGGAGCATCCCCGGCCTGTGGGACTGCAGCGCTCTGGGCCCACCTTGGGAGGGGATGGTGTCCTCGGAGCATGAGGGCGTGGTGGTCTGTGTGCTGTAGCCGCTGGAGTACTGCAGAGAGTCCCGGCTGCTCTTCTGGTGCTCCAGGCTCAGGCCACGGGTCAACACCATGGCCAGGTCACTGGCCGCAGGGGACACCTCCTCACCGTGCTAGGGGCGGTAAAATATCAGGCTAAAGCCTTGCTCCCCACCTCTGCCCTCTGCTCAAATCCAGGTGCCCTGCTAGGTGGTTGGAGGTGGTCCTGGAGACCATTGCCGTCATTGACCTGAGCGTGAAAATGAGGTCTGGCTGGGCTACCCCAGAAGCTGCCTGCCTACCTTGGCTGCAATGGTGGCAGGGGACATCCGGGCTCGTGGTGCCTCCTCCCCACTGGAGCCCAGTGCCCCTCCACTGGCAGGGCCTGGCTCCGCGTCCCGGAGGAGTTCCACTCGGTCTTTCCTCCGTTGCAAGGTGGTGCCTGAGGGCTGCTCGTGGGGGCCGGCCTTGGTCCACTCCTGTAGGTGTGAAAGCAAGTCAGGGGACCCTTGGCCCGAGGCTCATGACCAAGAGGGCCCTTCACTATGGTTGAGGGCCAGGGTGTCCTGATGTGTGAGTGGCCTCTGGCTCACAATTGCGGCCAAGGTCAGAGCCTACAGGAGGGTGGTGGCCGGGAGCGGGGGTGGCCCCTGTTCCTATAAGCTCTGGGGCAGGACAAGGGTTCCCAGGAGGGAAAGACATATGTGAGGAGTGGCTAAGGGTGGTGGCCAGGCAGCTTGTCTCACGACAATGGGGACGGACTGCTAGGGTTCCTCTAGCTGAGTTGGAACCCTCCCTATGGTGACATCCCAGATTGGGAGGGCCCCAGTGTGGACAATTGGTAATGGTTGTGGGGTTGGGGCCAGGAACACTGACCGAGGTCGGGGAGCTGCATTCGCTAACGGACTGGCAGGTTTCCGAGGCCTCGGAGGACGCAGAGCTGGAGGACTTCTGTCATGCAGAGGTGAGCAGGTGGTTGCAGACAGGGGCCGGCGGGCAGACAGGGCAGGAGGCAGGGAGGAGAGGAGAGGCAGGGAGGAGAGAAGAGAAGAGTTCTGGTCACAGTGCCAGCATGCAGTGGTGGTTGAACTCAGCACCTCCCCCCACATCCCTCTCCCTTCCGTCCCCTCCTCCATGGCCACAGCCACAAAGAGTGCCTGCAGCAGAAGGCTGCAGCCCAGAGCCCACATTGCAAATGGCACAGCTCCAGAACCACATAGTTTGAGATTTCACCATAGGACTCGGCTGATGGCCTGTGTGTAGCAGGAGAGGGCAAGGGTGTTTGGCTTGAGAGGTTGGGTGGATGGTGTCACTATTTTCTCAGGTAGGGAATGCCCAGAGGAGGGTATGTAGGCAGTCCCAATTGCCATCCTGTGTACGCTAAGCTGAGCTACCTGCGTGCATGGATGCAATGTCAGCTGCCATGTTTACAAGCCTGGAGTTTGGGGGAAGTCGGAAGAAGTCATCAGCATAGCTAGAGTCAAGGCTCAAGACAATCCCTCAGGGTTCCGACATTCAGCCGCTGGAGGACGAGCCCAGCAAAGGACAGTGGTGAGATGCTGCTAGAAAAGTGGGAGGAAAACCTGATGTAGGTGATGCCACAGGGATCACAAGAACCTGCTTGACAGACGGGAGGGGACAGGCTTTGCTTAGGCTGTTGGGGCCATTAGCTGCCTATGCTGGTGGTACTGCGACAATTGCTTCAATGGGACATGGCAGGGGGACCCCACTTAGCAGTGGCCTTGTGTGTCTGGGACATGACTGCTGTGGGCAGCAGGGTATATATATCTTGGGAGCCCTCCCACTCCAAATTACTGCAAAGAATAGGGAAAGTGAAACAAGGTAAACAGAACCCTGAGCAGGTGCTGACTTTGGCACCATGGTCAGAGGCAGAGCTCATGGAGGGCTCATCTTGTGATGAGCAAACTAAACCAAGGCACCTGGAAGGGACCATGCCAGATCCTCCATGGCATCCTCATTTACATCCCCAGATTTCTTACAGATTATGGTGAACCAAGATCATCAAAATAAAAGGGAACAAAGGACTAAATGTGAAGATTCAGGTGAAGTAACACATCCAGACTTTTAGCAATATGACTGTTAATACAGAACCCAATGGAAAAAAAAGCATCTGGAGTTCAATGTCTGTTCCTGAAAAACAAACAAAAAATCATAAAATCACCTAGAAATAGAAAAGAATTTCCTTAGTCCCAGGGAACTGCTAAACAAACAAATAAACAAACAAAAAGGATACTTTTCCCTGTGAAGTTGGAAAAAAGACCAGGATGCCTCTATCAACACTTCTATTCAGCACTGGAAGTCTTAAAGTGTGATAAAGCAAGAAAAAGAAAATTAAAAAAAAGTGAAAAGACTGGAAAGCGTTTGCAATGACATGATAGCAAAGAACCTTTAAAGCCATGAGTGGTGTGCACTTATCATCCCAATACTTAGGAGACTGAGGCAGGAGGATCACTTGAGCTCAGTTTGATGCCAGCCTGGGCAATTTAATGATACCTCGTATAAAAAAAAACCCATAAGGTATCAGAATTAGTAAATAATTTTAAGAATGTTATTAGCTAGAAGGTCAGAAAAAATCAATTGTATTTCTAAATATCATTAGCTAACAAGTAGAAATGTGATTTATAATAGCATCAACAAACACCAAATACCTAGAGAAAAATTCCAGTGATAGATGTTTAAGATCTTTACATAAAAACTACAAAACATTATTGAGAACTTAAAGCCTAAATAAATAGAGAGATATACAATCCTAGCTAAAATGCCACGAGCTTTTTGTTTTGTTTCATTTTTGGTGGAATCTAACAAGGTGATCTTACAATTTATAAGGAAATGCAAAGGGGTAAAAATAAAGGTGGGGTTGGTGGAGTGGCTCATGTGGTACAGCACCTGCCTAGTAAGCGTGAGTCTGAGTTCAAACCTCAGCACTGCCAAAAAAAAAAACCAAGGTCTGATGGAGGTGTTACTCAAGCTGTATAGAGCCTGCTTGCAAGTGTGAATCCCCTGAGTTCGAACCCCACTCCCACCAAAAAAAAAAGGACAAGGTGATTCTGAAGAATAATAAAGTGGGAGAATTTTCATTATCAGACATCAAGATTTTTCATAAAGTTACAGTAATTGTGATGGTGTGGTACTGGCACAAGGACAGATAAATCAGCCAGCTGAAGAGAGTACAAAGTCCAGAAAGAGACACACACAGACATCTGATACAGACATCTGATTCAGAGAAGTAAATGACACCGCAGTGCGATAAGGAAACGATGATGCCATGGTCTGGAGCTCTGCATCCTCTCAAATTCATGTGCTGCAATTCTGATCCCTAATATAGTGGTTATGAAGGGGGCCCTGAGCAGATCATGAGGGTGGAGCTCTCACAAATGGGATTAGTGTCCTCATAAAGGAGACCTGAGTGAGTTTGCCTCTTCTACTACCTGAGGACACAGCAAGAAGGCACTCTCACAGACACCAAATCTTTGTACCAGGACTTCCCAGTCTCCAGAACTGGGAGAAATAAATTTATTTTTTACGAATCATTCAACTTATGGTATTTTGTTATAGCAGCTTGAATGGGCTAATACAGACAGGCCTTTCAATAGACTGTCCTGGGTCAATTAGATAACCACACAGAAAAAAAGGACCCCTAATTCACACCACACATATGACCAATGAGCTGCAGATTTAAATTAAAAAAGTTAAAAAAAGCTTTTAGAGGAAGACATCTTTGTAATCTAGGAGTATAAAAAGAATCTCTCAAGCAAGATGCCAAAAGCACTAGCAATTTAAAAAATGGATAAATTGGACTATATTAAACTTAAGAACTTGTCATTAAAAGAGAAGTTTAAGACTTGTCATTAAGAGGGCAAAAACATACTCATAGAATCAGTTATCTGAAGAAGGACTTATATCTACAATATATAAAGAGTCCTAGTAGTCAATAAGAATACCACAAACAATGTACTGGAAAAATGGGCAGAAGATGTGAACAGATCTTTCACAAAAGAAGATACTCAAGTGGTCTTTTAAAAGTATGAAAAGGTGTTCCAATTGTCAGGACCACGCAAATCGCAAACTCAAAGTGCTACTATTGTATACCTGCCAGGATGGCTAACATGAAAAAGATGCAACATACCAAGGGCTGGTGAGGATGTGGAACAACAGTGAACTGTCATAATCTTGCTAGGAAGTGAGAATTGGTATGGTCTCCTTGGAAAGCTATTTGGAAGTAGCTATCAAACCCAAAAATGTACATGTCTTGTGACTGGGCAATTCCACTCCTAGCCATGTACCCCACAGAACTGCATTCTAGAACATTAGTAGCACCACTGTTAGCAGCCATACCCCCAAACCTAGGAACTTTCCAAATATCCTACAAATGTATTTAGAATGGCTAAATAAATTATACATTCACACATGGAATGCTATACAGCAAAGCAAATGATACACATCTCCATGTGAAACAGATCCATCTCATAAACACAATGCTGAGCAAAAGAAGCCAGACATAGGACTGCAGGTGTGGTTCAAGTGGTGGAGCACCTGCTTTGCAAGCACTAAGCCCTGAGTTCAAACCCCAGTGACACTTTTCATGGTGCTGGGGATCAAACCCAGGGCCTCACATGTGGCAGGCAAACACTCTACCACTGAGCCATAATATCCCCAGCCCAATTTTATATACATATATGATGAAAAAAGACAAAACTGATCTAGCCAGGATAGTAGCAACTCGGGGAGCACAGAGGATTCAGGGAGATGGTCACATTGTGTCTTGTGCATGGTGCTGTTACTTGGGTATGTTGAGTTTGTAAATTTATTGAGATGTACCCTTATGATATATTTACTTCTTTGTATGTATAGAATATGTCAATAAAAAAGTTCTTAAAAGACTAAGTAGTAATGGATTATTACCCATTATAAAGGGTTATAAATATTTATAACCTATTTTTTAATTTATAACTCAAATTTTTTATAACTCAAAGAAATATTTATCAGTCCATAATGATATGAATAAGTAACTGACTACATGAAGGGATAGTGGAATTACAGTTAATAAATGTAAGGAGAATGAAGGAAATAACAGGCAAGGATTACCAGTGGGTGAGGAACAGGGTATCTGCACAGTCTCAAAGTATCCCCCACAAGGTATTTAATCACAAAGGGGAAAATTATGACCATAAAGTGGGCAAGCCTGGTGCAGACCCCACTTTAACCAAGATCAGGTCAGTATTACCAGTCACGAGCCATAGAGACACCGCACAGCTGAATCAATACACCAAGAAACCTATGCTGTAGCCTCCATTTCTGAGGTACTTTTGCCAGAAATGTTTGGCTCTTGTTCTAAATGGGAAGACGTAAGGTCAGCCCAAATTGAGAGACATTCCACGAAACACCTGAACAGTGTTCTTCAAAATACCAAAGTCATGGAAGACAGGGACAGGACCAAAGAACTGTCATAGATTGACGATGACATAAAATCTAAATGCAGCAGAGGATTCTGTACTGGGTCCTAGACTCCTGGACCAAATAAAGGATAGGAGAGAGAAAACTGGCACAATGTGAAAAAAAATCCCAGCCAAACAAACAAACAAACAAACAAGACTGTAGATCAGTTAGCAGTGTTGGAGTAGTGTTGATTTCTTGGTTTTGGAAACTGTTTGGTGGTCATATAAGATTGAAAAATTAATTTTTAATTTTAAAATTAAAACAACAAGCTGGGTACATGCCTATAATCCCAGCACTGAGGAGGCTGAAGCAGGAGGATCTCTAGTTCAAGGTCAGCCTGAGCTACGTAGAGAGATCTCCATCTCAAAAAAAAAAAAAAAAGATAAACAAACCCCAAACAGTGGGGAAGAGTAGATTGGAAGACAGACCTAAAGAAATTATCCAGAGGTTGGGGTGTGGTGGCTCAGGTCTATAATCCTAGCTACTTGGGAGGCTGAGATCAGGAGGATCAAGGTTTGAGGTGGGCCTGGGAAAAAGTTTGTGATACTCCATCTCAACCAATGGAGGCATGTACCTGTCATCTCAGCTATGTGGGGAAGCACCAATAGGAAGACTGAGGTTCAGCCTGAAGCCCTGAGTTTCACCCCCAGTAGCACCAAAAAAAAAAAAAAAGAAAAGAAAAAAGAAATTATCCAGAATGTAGTATGGAGAAAATAAGAATTAAGACATGGCAAGGTATGACATATGTTGAATTGGAAGAGAACAGAAAGAATCAAAGTGGGCATAAAGAGATAATGGCTGGGGCTGGGGGTTTAGCTCAGTGGTAGAGTGCTTGCCTAGTATGCACAAGGTCCTGGGTTCAGTCCCCAGCATTGCCAAAGAAAGAAAGAAAGAAAAAAAGAAAAAAGACATTGTCAGATTGGAGAAAACGAGATCCAGGCATATGCTGTTTACAAGAGATTCATAATGACACGGTGTATTTAAAAATAAAAAGATGGACCGCGATGAAATAAAGAAAGAATGAAGGGCTGGGACCAGGTTCAACAGCTATAATGGCCCCACACATGAACAGCTTGAGGTCGGCAAGAGGCTGTTATCCACCCCCACCCTAGGTGGTCCTCCAGAGGCCCCCTCACCTGGCTGGTGATGTCTGAAGGCATGGGCGAGGGGGGCTTGGAGTAGGTGGCATCTTGGGAGACGAAGCCAGAGTCGTGGGATGAGACGCTGGAGAGGCGGGTGGCGGAGGTGGCGGTTGGCTGTGCCAGGCTGCGGTAGCGACAGGTGGAACTGGGTGAGTATGTTTGGGCACCCCCAGGCCATGGGGCTCCGCCACCCTTGGCACTGCTGCTGGGGGCACTAAGGAGTGAAGGAGGAGGGCACAGCAGTCACACAGGGAGACACAGGGGTGCGTGTGGAGGGGAGGGTGACAGACGAGGGTGGGGAGAGAGGTGAAAGGCAAAGGAAGGAAAAGATAGTATCAGACTATGAGGTCCTGAGACCCAGGTACTACAGAGGAGCTGGGTTCTGGAGGGTGTGGCAGGGCAGGATGCAGGATACCTGGCCCCTGCCCTTGGAGGGCCTTAGGGCTGAGAAGCTCCTTTTGGGCACACCTAAGGTGAGGCCATCTCTCTGTCCTACTTTGCCATTGGAATAGTTGCCCTCAGGTTGGTGACAGGGAAGCTGAGTCACCAGGCATCAAACAATTAGAAGCAGACATGCCTGTTTCTAAAGTCCTTCGCCCACAGGCATCTAACATGTGGCAATGGCATGCCTGGAGATGGAGGCTGCCTTTCAGTGGGTCCTAAACCTATCATCACCTCCATTATCCAGCCCCCCAAAACCCCGCGCAGGTCCAGCTCTCCACAGCTCACACACTTTGCACAGCCTGCTCCTGGCTGTGAAGGCTGTCTTCCTCCTGGGCATGACCTTTCACCCCCCCCACCCGTTTCTGCACATAGGTCACCCCCACAATCAACATTCTCCCTGGGACAGCTGCCCACTGGGGGTCTGAACAGGCTTCAGCAGCCCTGGGCCCTCCTCTCCCCGGCCTGGCTTCTTTCTAGTCTCTAATGCACAGCCAGGGGGCATTCTGGGGAGAGGGGTACCTGGCACAGAGAGGCCTCACTAACCTAGAACCTGCTCTGTGCTCAATGCCCTCTCCATCCACCAGAGGACCCTTGGATCATAAACACCTCCTCCAAATCTGGCCCTAGTGCCAGCCCAAGGAAGGCCCAGGATCCTGAGCTAGCCCGGTGGTGAGTGAGAGCCTTTGTCTCTCCCCAGCTCTATGAGGTCCCGGAGGCCAACAGGGGCCAGTAGCAGCTGAATGAAACCAGTTTTCGGAACCAGCCAGGATGAAGGATCCTCAGCATGTGTTCTCAAACCTCCACACACTCTTCCTTGATCTTAAGATTTTTTTTTTTTTCCTTGGGTGGTACTGGGGTTTGAACTCAGGGCTTTGCGCTTGCAAAGCAGGTGCTCTACTGCTTGAGCCATACCTCCAGGCCATTTTTCTCTGGTTATTTTCGAGATGGGATCTTGTGAACAATTTGCCTAGGCTGACCTTGAACCTGATCTTCCCAATCTCAACCTCCCAAGTAGCTAGGATTACAGGTGTGAACCACTGGCACCCAGCAATTTTGGATTCTTACTACTATTCCACACTGTCTGAGGCCTAGCAGAGTCCAATGGTTAAATGTTAGAACTACGTGCCTCAGTTTCCCCTTTTGTGAAATGGAGATAACACTATGCCTAACAGTGGTGTTAGGATTCAATGTAGAAAATGCCTGACACCTGGCACAGAGTGAAAATTCCATAAATAAAGCTTCTGCCCCCTCCTTCCTGCCAACCCACGCCTGCCTTGGGAGGATGGGCATTTTTTCTCTATACTTGGAAATTCTTTGGATGCCACATAAGTGTGAATTCTGGGGCTCTGAGTTTCCCTAGTCCTTCCCAAGCCCCTTCCATGATCTCTTCCCCACTGACCTGCACATGCTGGACTTCCGGGAACTGGAGCTACTGGGTGATGAGGGTGGGGTCTGGTAGGACCAGCTGTAATCTGAGCCCTTCAGGTCTTTGATCACCTGGACAGCGACATGGATGGGGGTCACTGGAGGCACTCCTTAACCTGAAGCGAGCCTTATCATTTTTTCTGGGACCTCTCAGAAAGCTGGACATCCTCCGTCCTCTTCCCAACTGTGCACCATGCCCCAGGAGACCCTGAAAATCTCCAGCCTCTCCTCCAGCCTTCTCCTAAGGTGAGCTGTTCACTGGTGTAGGCAGCAGGGAGATACTGAGGCCAGCCTGGCCAGGTGGGGGACATGGGTGGAGCAACTACTCCCAAAGACTCACAATCACTGGTAGAGCATCCAGGTGAGCGTGCCTGTCACACCAGGGTTTAGATCATTACTAGACTTCTCTGAGCCTCAGTTTTCTCCTGTGGATTAGAGCCTGCTCCCATCTTAGAGCCCCATCAGGAGGACTCAGAAAGAAGAGCTGGAGCGCGTACACGGCAGAGGCAGGGCACTCAGGAAGTGCCTAAGGAGTGCAAAGCCATGTAGGCTGTCCAGTGGAGTAGGGGCAGGGTAGGAGAGGTGGACAGGTGGACCTGGATCTAGAGGAGGTGATGGGGTTCTGGGCATCACCAGTTTTGGAAAGACCGAGCCCCAGGGAGCTCAGACTTCCACTTATCTGTCTCATCCTGAGATCACTGTTGGGTCCTGGGCATGCCACCCCTCACCTGGGCAGGTGCTCCCAGATAACCCACAATAGCTGTCGGAAAGTATTTGGTCTTCTTTCCCCAGATGCCTCCCTGAAATGCTGTCCCCTTTTCTCCTCTACCATTCCCCAAAGAGGACAGGACCATTCCCCCATCCCTGGCTCTTGGCCCCATGGCTGTCCGCACCTGTTCACTGGCGGGAGGCAGCTTGTGGGGTTCCGCAGTCAGCACCACCAGATCGTCAATGATGCCCTGCAGGTGGGTGATCTCGCCCAGCATGGTCAACTCGCCGTTCTGAGGGAGCAGTGAGTCAGACCTGATGGCTCTGCTATCCGCCTGCCCACCTGCCCTGGAGAAGCAGGCCTCATTGGGCCTCTTCTCTCTCGTCCTTCCCTGATAACCATTGCCGCCTGGGGCAGGTGAAGGCTGGGCTTGCACTGCTGGGTGGCTCGCACCATCATCTGTCCAGACCCAGTAGCGTACGATGAGCTAGGAAACCTGATTTCTAGCTAGGAGCATGTGGCTCTGAATGTACCTCGCTAGGGATCACCCAGAAGTGATCTTGGAGGTCGAGAGGTCCACCTTGGCCTGTTTCCCCCCAACCCCTAGAGCCTCAGAGTCACTAAGGGACCCACCACCACAGGCTGCAGGAAGGTGATGAAGGTACAGAAGCGGCCCCGTTCTTCAATCAGGGCCCGGCGCACTGCCTGCTTCTCCGTCTCCTCCAGCAGCAGGTACATATCATTGACGTCCTGTAGGGCACTGTCCAGCTGGGGCTGCAGGTCTCCTTTCCCTGGAGGGGTGGGGAGGAGAGGCCGCGCTGGGGACGCTGGCCTGGTTTGCTACACCCACAGCTCAGGCTTGTGGTGGTATCCCTGGCTGTGCAGCTGTGTGCTATCATGGGAGCCAGGAGTGTGGAGAGGGCAGGACTGAGGAGGGGCTGGTCCCACCAGAGCAGGCAGAGAGGACAGACAGACACACAAACACAGGAAAGACACCAAGCTGCAAAGCCACCCAGGGCCGACTGCATGGGGGGTCAGCTGGAGGCCTCCACAACCCAGGCTCCCCTCAACTGCCCTTGAATAGTGCCTTCCACTGCACAGAGTAAGGGAGGTGTCTGAAAGCACGACAAAGTGGAGTTGGGTGGGGAGGAAGGCTTAGCTGTAGGCCAGGCCACTGCGGGATGTGGGGGTCAGGAGGGCTAGGGACTCTGGGGAGCAGGAAAGAGGGGTGTCTCAGCATGGGTCCCCACTCAGCTCAGGGAGCAATCCACAAAAACAGCAATAACGACACAAAGAAGCAGCGAGAGAGACAGAGAGAGGTGAGAGGATGAGGATGAGGAGATGGTGAGGGGAAAGTAGGAGGCGACAGGTAAAGACCTGGCTAGCCTGGCAGGGGCAGGGAAACCAGGGCCTGCCTGGCTAGCCAACTCCTCCTGGCCTGGCTACTGACCCAGCAGTGGCCCAGGACTCATCCTTAGTCAGGGGCCCTGGGAGACCCAGGGAAAACTGTATTCCGGGCCCCTCCCTTGGTGGACCAATCGCCTTCCTTGCTCCTCCTTGGCCTGGAGAGGTTCCTTCCAATGGCCCTGAGCTCAGGGAAGACAGACAAATGCGACAAGGATGGGAGGAGCAGCTGGAGGAACGGACATTTGACTTACCAAGTAGCTCTACAGGAAGGATGTGGGAGGAGGGAGGAAGAGAGACAGAGAAAGAAAGAATGTGTGAAAGACAGCCGGATGGACAGAGCCACTCCTGGGGTTGGGAGGGGAGGCCTGGGCCTGGGGTGCCTCCTGCTGCCTCCCAACAGGGAGGGCATGGTATACAGGTGCTCCCTCTGTCCCACCCGATAGGTTGGAAGGTCCTGTGTCAGGACAGAGCCCCTCTGGTCAGCATAAGGCCCTGAGGGTGCCCAAATTGGGCTACAGGGGCTATGGAGTGGGGCCCTTGGGCTGGGCCTCTGGGGTGCTCAGGGCTCTACCTTTGCGTGCTTTCTTTTGTAGCTTCAGCGTGTCCGATGATTTCTTCTTGATCTCGTGCCTGGCTCGTTTGTACTCTGCAGGGAGTAAGAGGGAGGCTATAATGGGGGCCCTTGTGTGTGTGCGTGTGTGAGGGGGCGCGGCGCAAGAACCCTAGCAAAACTCCACCCCACCTTTCGCGTGGTCCTTGTCCAGTTGGTTGGCAGACTTCTTCCAGTCCTCGATGCGCTCCTGCAGTGGGTTGATGAGGCTCTCCAGCAGCGCGCTGTGGGCAGGAGCTGCCAGTCAGGGCCAAGGCAGAGGGGGTGGGGGTGTCTCCCCGGGACTGAGGCCCCCTGCCCTCCCGCGGCGCCCACTCACTTGGTGAATTGCCGCAGTTTGGTCTCGATGCTGCGGTGGCGCATGCACATGCGAGTGAGCGCGGAGCCAATGTCCCGCGTGGCCCCTGGCGAGGAAGCACGCTGCTTGGAAAGGGGCCCGCTGGGGCCTCTGCAGTCCCGATCTTGGGCCACGAGGGGGCGCGCCCGCCCGCGGAGGCCGCGCCAGCAGCTCGAGCCCCGTCCCCACCACCCGCAATCCGGAGGGTTGATCTGTCTGTGAAGGTCCAGGCCACCCTGGCCACTCCAGCTTCCTGCTGGTGCCCTGCTGGCAGGGCCAGGAGCCTCCCCTCTCCCGCAACTGGGAGATGCCAGCGCCAAAGACTGCCCAAGGAGCAAAATTCCTCTTCAGCCCCTCGGGGAACCCTTTCCAGGTGTGCCCAGATGCTGTTTTCTTGCCACTGGAAGGAACAGGAGCCCAGGTCCCAGCTACATGGACCAGAAGGCAGAGGAGCATCTGAGTCCCTAGGGATCACTCACCTGCCTGCAGGCTCTCAGGAGAGCACACAGGGATGAGCCAGAAGAAACCATAAGGAGACTCACTGTACAGAGCGTGAACATCTGTGGCTGTGGAGTCAACTGAGCTGCCCACAGCAAAAAGGGAGTCCTAAGTAATGTTCCTGTCACCACTCACCAGCTCTGCTTGCATGTCTCTTGTTGAGGGGTGACTCACTCTCTCCACAGTCAGCCCGTTCCAACAGGGAGCAGAACCTAAGGTCTGGACTCTAGGCCTGTTGTTCTCCCTCTGGACCATACCCACTCAGCCTTTCTAGCCTCCAAGCCCACCCTGAGGCAGCCCACCTCCAGCTGTGCTCCCTCCCCACCTCGAGTGTTGGTGGCCATATCAGCTACTTTCTGGAAGGCATCTAGGAAGGCTACAGCAGCCAGCACAGTGGTCCTGGGGAGAGGGACAGTGAAGAGGTTGATCAGTAGGGGGTCCTTCTCTACCCGCCCCTCCCCAACTGGGGCATCCGCAGCCTCACCTCAGCTGGGAATGTAGTTTCGTGGCCTTGGAGTTGAAGTCCTCCCAGATCGGGTAGGAGCTCTGCCAGAGAGGCAAAAGAGGAAGTGAGACCCTGAGGAGAGGGCTCCACCTGGACTGGGCTTCCACATGTTGTCCAGATTTTGGAAAGTTTCTGAGATGGTCCTGCCCCCATATAGAGGAGGCTCCCGCACCCTCTGGGAGGAGAGGACCCAGGACAGAGCACCAGGCATGGAGGAAACCTTGGCCCTGGAAACAGGTGCCCGACAATCAGGAAGTCCATCCTATTGTCTGTAGTCTGAGACCATGTGGCCCTAATCCTCCTTCAGGGGAGATGGAGGCAGTGAATGGCAGGTCCTGTGTCCCCTGGGCTCCCTGGCAGGGGTCTGGGCTGAGCCCAGTGAAGGGCTTCAGGTTCGCTAGACACATACCTAGGAAGGTAGGCACTGACCTGCTGCCTGGCTTGGGGACAGAGGCATTGTCTGGAGGATGGAGACTGGCAGGGCTCAAGGCATGCCAGGTCTAATGTGGGGCCCGGAAGCTGCTGCTGGCAGGCCAGCCATCCCAGGGCAGCAGCAGTGGCTCCCAGGCCTGGGGAGACTGAGACTGCCGAGGGCCAGCCAGCTTGCCTGGGACAACCAGGCCCCAGGCTGAATGGGGCCTTGTACGGCCAACAGAGCCACCTTTCTCCACCCCCTGCTCCCCTCCCCTCCAGGGGAACAGTGTAGCCTTTATCCCAGTCTGGCCCAAGGCTCCACACTGGGAGGGGGTTTCCCAGTAGGGAGATTGGGGCTCCTGGCGACCAAGTTGTCCAGTCTGATTAAGGGGCTTTTCTGGCTAAAGTACTTTCCCCATGGCTGCGGGGCCTGGAGAAATCTCAGCCCTGGCCTGAGGGCCCTGGGTCTTTGAATGGTAGCCCTGGACTAGCAAAGCCCCAGTCCCTGCCCCAATGGGCCCTTCCCCACCGTGTAGGATGCCACTGAAGGCTAGCCTTTTCCCAAGTGAAGGGAAAAGGCAGAGAGCCAGTCCCCAAGGCTTCAGGGAACTTTCTGGTGGGCTGGAGCCCCAGGGCAGGTCTGGCTGGCTTTTCCAGGCCAGGAAAGCCATAGGGGTAGCTGAAAAGAGGCAGGCAGCTTCAGGAAACCTCTGAAATCTCTCTCTCCCAGCCCAGCTAAGCCAGGGTCCAGGGAAAGCAAATATCTGTGAAGGTCATCAAGGCTGGAACGAGAAGGGAGACTGTGGGTGGGCTGTCTCCATGGGCATAGGGCAGGGTAAAGGGGCCTGGGAGGGCACCCCTAGCAGTCCCAAGGAGCTGAGTCCCAAGATCCCTTGGCCCCCAGGGATCTTTGAAAAGGGGGAACCCTTCTAACACCTAGACTCTTCCCAGCTTGGAAGCCTAAGACCTCCTTCAAGGGTGCAAAAAAAAAAAAAAAAAAGCAAGGGATCCAGGGCCAGCTGACCTGGACCCCTTCTTAGCTCCCTCAGCAATCCCTGGTTGGTCTTATGGGGGCTGTCCTAAGGGTGGGGAACAAGACATGGGCGAGGCTAGGTCCAGTCCCCCTCAGCAGACAGACTGAGGACTCTGTCGTTAGCCACCCAGGATTCCCTCATTCCATCTCCCCTGGTTCATAAAGGACCCCAGAGACAAAAGAAGGGCCAGAGTGGCTGGGGCCTCAGAGAGAATGTCCCTGTCTTCACCTGGCCCAAGTTCTAAGCCCCTGTTGTATTAACACAGGCCTCAGTAACTGTGCCCTGTTGACCAGGTGTTCTGGATGGCTCAGCCCTTGCAATGTGTGCTCACGTTGGACCTTCAATGGCCCTGTGAGACTAATCTTATTATTGGCCCCATTTTATTGATGAGGAAATGGAGGCTCATGGAGGTCATGTGACTTTCTCAAGTAGGGTCAGGGCGGGGGAGGGGGAAACTGTTTCGGAGGGTGCAGGGAGATGAGCAATTGAGCACCTTAGTGAGGGAGTGATGAGGAGACTGCTGTGGCTGAGAAGTGGTGTGCCGGGGAGCAACCCAGGCTCCAGTCCCAGAGGGAAGGTTTTCTTTTCCTTTTTTTTTTGTGTGTGGCGATACTGAGGTATGAACTCAGGGCCTTATGCTTGCTAGACAAATCCTCTACCATTTGAGCCACTCCACCAGCTCCGAGAGAAGGCTTTCTGGAAGACTGGGCCTGTTTCCTCACCTATAAAAATTAGGAGAGGGATTGCATTTTCCTCATCTGTCAGAGTGTGGACTCCAGAGGGCGCTCACTGCAGGCAAAGCACCCAGCCAGTAGCCAGCTCTCAGTCTATGCTTCTCTGTTAAGAGCCCCTTCCCCCCTGGCCAGGGTCTGTGTTTGGGTGACACTCCCTACTCTCCAGGTGAGGCAAAGATTATGATCCCATTTTTTGGGTAGGCCAATGCAGGATGGAGGCCTTACTGGCTCAGCTGAAGGTGCTATGTTGAGGCCTATGACCCCTGTCTGCATTTAGTGGGTCTGTGGTCTGGCTTGTGTAAGACAGAGAAGGCAGGCTCTTGAGGATCCCTCCCTGCCCTGGGCTGGTGGTGCCCAACTTCAGCCATCCAGCTCCAGTGGTAGCTGGGAGAACCCCTCAGCCCAGAGTCTAGGCTTCCCAGTGGCCCTGCAGAGAGCACTGTGGGGCTGGGGGCTTGCTGGGGTAGCCTCACAGGGTGAGCTCTGTCTCCTTGACCTGGCCACCGAGCAAGACAGCCAGAAGCTGCCCCCACGTCCAGCTGATCAGCCTTCAGGTGGCCCAGTCCCCTTCATCTCTGGCCAGGGTCCCTGAGCACTTGCATGGGACATTGGTAGGGGCAAATCTTTACATAGCATCACCTCACTTGGTGAAACTGCTCCCATTTTGCCTCCTCATGTCCAGAAATCCTGCCCCCCACCTAGCCTGAGTCTCTTGCTGTGACCTGGGCCTGGTTGCTTTTGGCTCATCCTGAGTTTCTTGCAATTGGTGGAGGGAGGATACAGACAGGCTCTTCTCTGGGCAGAAGCTGCTGCTCGCTGCAGTGTTTGCTGTGCGGCTGCCAGTGGGAGGAGGTGCGGGCAGCTCCCACTGTCGGCCAGCCGGGAGTGGCCATGGGAGGTGGTTTGGGCTGTCCAGTCCCAGAAAGAGACCCAGATGCCAGAGTTGTAATATCTACAGGGCAGGTGGAGGTTGCTGGTAGAAGGGGCCTGAAGGTGGAGTTGCCAGGGATGGAGGTCCCAGGGGGGACACAGGCCAGAATGCCTTCATGGGTACCCCTTCAGGGGTAGGGACCTGACAGCTGCCCTTGGGGCTGTTCCCCTGGCAGCACAGGGAAGGGAGCCCCATCTTTTGCCTGCCCGCAACCCTCCACCTTCCTAAAGTGCCTGCCTGGAATCTTTGGGTGGGCTGCACTGTGGTGTGTGATGTCGCCTGCCCCGGGCCTGGTAGGACTCTGTGATGTGTACTTGGGGTGTGTGTGTGTGTGTGTGTGTAGCCTGGCCGGAGGGGAGAGTGTTGGAAGTTCCTGTGGGGAGCCCAATTTCTTTCTCTGGCCTGCAATCCTGCCCCTGGATCCTAGCCCAAGGAGCCGGGACAGTGGAGAAGGGTAGGAACACCGGTTCCAGGCCCCCACTTTAGGCCCTCTCTGCCTAGCCTGGCGCAGCCCTTCCTGTCAAAGCCTGGCCTCCTTAGGGTGGAGGATCCCCCTATGTCCCCTGATGAACAATGAGGGCCGAGGTCAGGGGTAAGGTCTCCTTAATGACCTTGAGTCATTTCCAGGCCTCAGTTTCCCACATGGTGCGGTGGCCTGCTCCAGCCTGACCTTGAGTAATCAAGAGGGGGATGGTGCCTAGGGCCTGGGGTGTAACGGGGCAGGCACAGTGCTCCCTTGGGTCTCTCCGCCAAACCCAGCCTTCTCCCGCCTTCTCCCAAGTTGATAATACGGGCGGGCTTATCCTTGGGATTCTGGGACTCCGGGTCAGCCGGGGACCTTGGAGTCCTATAGTTCTCTCCCGGGTGGTGGTGGCGGTGGGGGTGGGGGTGGGGTGGGGTGAGCTCAGCGCAGAGGCCGAGGTCGGTGGGGAAGGAGTTAACGGTTTTCTGCTTTATTATTTTTTCCTGCTTCAGTGGTGACAGCATTGTCTGGGCTCCGGGGCCGTTGGGGTGGGGGACATTGTGATGGAAGGGGGCGGAGGCCCGCGAGAGCCATTAAAAGGCCATGAGAGTCGGCCCTGAAGCAAAACCCCATTCATGGTTTGGGGATTCTGGGGAGCAGAACGTCCGCGTGCAAAGGCTCGGATCGGGAGACCTGGTCACCTCATGGCCACCCCAACACACAAGCACAGGCCCCCGGCGCCCCCCACCTCCAGCCAGGCACCCGGAGATCCGGGCGCAAGGCAGACGCAGGCAGGACACGCTCACACAAGGACACACAGACACCACGGCGCACGGGCACAGTAGGGCACGGCTACCCGCCGCCACGCGTCCCCGAAGGGGACACGCACCCGCACCCACCCTCCCTGGTGCCCGGCCCCGCCGCGCCTCGGTTACCTTCATGTCGTTGACGATGGCCTGGAAGAGCCCGCCCAGGGCGCCGCACTCCTTCTCCGCCGTCTCCATGCTGAGGCCGGGCGGGCCGCGGCGGCGGGGCGCACAGGGGCGCGGGGAGCCGCGCAGGGGAGGGGGCCGGGCCGCGGCGGGCTCTGCTCCGAGGCCGCGCCGGGCCTCCCGCCTCCGAGCCGCGCTCAGCGGCCGGCCGCGCCGTGCTCCGGGGTCGCGGGCCGCCGGCGGGCGGCGCGGGCCATGTCGCGGCGGGGCTGGCGGCGGCGCTGGGGCGCGGCGCGGGCAGCTCGCGGCGCAGCCTCGGCGCGGGGACTGGAGCGGCGGCGGCGGTAATCCGAGCCGCCGAGGCTCGGGCGTCACGTGGGTGCGGCGGAGGGAGGACCGCGGGGAGGGAGCGCGGGAGGGGGCTGTGGGAAAGGCCGGGCGGGCGCAGGCCCATTCACGGCCAGAAACCAGGGCTTTGAAATCCGAGCCCTGGCGCTGCCAGACTGGTCCGGCGAGCGGGGCGGACGGGCGCGGGCGCCATCGCGGGTCGGGGCGGCGCTGGGGCGGGGTCCGCACAGCTCCCTGCGGGGGTGGATGGGCGCTGGGGTCCCGGCCCCCCGACCGCACCTTCTAGCCCTCGGTCTTGCTCAGGGGGCCTCCTGAGCCTTCAAAGATGTGATCCTGCGCGCATCCCGTCAGAGCGGTAGTCAGCAAAGAGAGTGCGTGCAGTGTCACCAGGAATTCCTGCCTTGGGGCGGTTCACCCCAGGCACAACTCTCCATAAATTCGGACCCTCCTCCATAAGTTCTTTGGCTTCTATTGCAAGCGATGTCTTACCGATGAGGTGCCCGAGGCTTAACTTTTGGGGGCTAGCGGTGATCTCCTGGCCCTTGGGCAACCTCTCTGCTCATGAGTGGGGTCCGAGTTGGACCTACAGAACAGTTCCTGATGCCTGGGTGTAGTGTGGGGGCGCACACATGTGTACATGGGCAACAGCAAGCACTTTGTTGTCGACCTGGAGACTCCAGGTAAACCCACTCTCCTGGGACCTCATCTTTCTGGGGCTCTGGGGAAACACATGCACAAGCTCACCCCTGACTCCAGTGCTGCAGGAGCCACTTGGGAACTCATCAGGTCAAGGAAGGGAGTCCCAAAGCCCAGGGACAAGTGACCCCTGGTCTATAGGTGTAGGTGGAGAGGGCTTGGCTTACAGTCAAACCAAGGGTTGGGACACCCTCCCCATGCCCACTAGTCTTTCTTCCCAGTGATCTGCAAAGTGTTCTGCAGAGTGCAATCCCTTTCATCCGAAAGCCCTGAGGCTCAGCTGTCATCTGTCTCAGGGATATGTCCCATTGCACCCTCCCTCCGGGGGGAGGGGGAGGAGAAGGGGAGATGGAAGATGGCAGGGTTCAGGGTTCCAGGTAGGCTAGGAGAAAGGTGCAGGTCCTAGGGGTGGATAGGCCCTTGCAGCACTGCCAGCACTCCCTGGGGCCAGCGTGAAGCCAGGTCTCCAGGGCAGTTGAGGCCCTGGGGCAGCTGCAGCATCAGGCAGCACAGGTATCATCAGGGAAGAAGTAGGCAGGTGCAGGTTAAGGTTTGTCATTTCTTTATTGGGGCAAGGGTAGAGTGGACATCATTCAGTAGAGATTTTCGTGCTGGTCCCAGTGTGCACACAGGTATATATACATGGAGATGTACATACACACATGCTCACTCATGTATACACATATACACACCAGGCCAGAGCTCTGGGGGCTGAAGTCAAACTCTTCTCACAAAGGGGTATTAGAAAGAGACTAGTTCCAGAAGATGGGTGACTTCTGAGGCTGTGGTCCCACCCTGGTGGGAAGCCAGCTGTCTGAAGCCAGAATGCAGTGGACAGCACTGGGGGCCAGAGGCTGGGCTGAGAGTAGCTGGGGTGGACAGAGCAGCCTCTGTCCCTCTCCCTGCCTGGGCTGGTGATCAGGCCCAGCCCTGCCCAAGAGGCAGGTCCTCGGGGATGCCGAGGAGGAAGCTTGAAGACCCTGAGTGCTTCATGGGCCCTTCTCCATGCCAGGTGTGTCAGAGAACAACTCTGCGGTCTAGGTGATCCCCGCGCCCGCTGCGCTGATGCCTCACTTCCAGGTGCTGCTTCTGGACCTTCTCAAAGTGCTGCAGTAGCTCTGTGTAGTCGATGCTTGGGGAGTCGCCTTTCTGGGACTTGGGGGTGACCTTTAGACTGTCTCTGGAAAGAGGGGCAGAGAGCCGAGTGAGTGTCTGCACAGTGGGAACTGCGGTATGAGTCTCTGGGAAGAGACTCTGCACTCTGCTCAGCCACTCTCCCCAGTAGCCAGCCCCAAAGAGCTGGAGAGCCCCTTGCATACCCCTCTCCCGCAGTTGGTGGGAACAGCCAATGTGCTGCTTGAATATTATGCAGCCTGTGGGCTGGTGATGGCGCCCAGAGCAGGCATTGCATGGGGAAGCATTTCCTGTTTACCAGTGGCTCCCTTTGGGGTGAAAGCCAGAGCTAGCAGCCAGCCAGGAAGCCAGCTGGGGCCTGGAACAGGGTCTGGGGAGAAAGAGGAGGCAACCTGGCCTTTTCTCTGGGGCAGTGCTAGGGCTGGGAACAAGTGGGATAACTTAAGTCTCTGCTGGGCCAAGCTGGCAGGACATTTGTTTCTGAGTGTTGGGGACCTGAGGCCTGTAGTTAGCACCTGTGCCCGTGGAAGGAGAGCTGGCCTCACTATTGGACATGCTGATGGCTTCTATAGTCCTTTAGCTGCCGTCCTCCCTAGTTGTGTGCAGCAGTACAGGTTGGGCACTGCACAATTACTATGCACGATGCTGCATGTAACTGCCCTGCTGCCCCACGAAAGCCTAGTGCTCAGCTTATCCACGGGGACTAGACCGCTTGGGTTCCTGCTGCATTCCTAACCATCCCTCCAGCACAGCCTCATGACACACTGGTCTTCTCTCACTGGCTTGGAGAAGTAGGGCTGTGTGGGTGGGGAGCATCTGTTTTCAGCCCCGATGGCCCAGTGGCTCTGGCAAGGAGTTTCATGAAGACTGGGCTGCTCAACTAAGCAGAGAATCTTTGGGCCTTTTGAGTTCATGATGATACCCAATGGAAGAGGTGCAGACAGCAGCTGAGTCAGGAGCAAGGAAGGCCTGGACCCAACTGGAGCACCACTCAGAGTCATTGGACCCTGGGCATGTGACTCAGTTTTCCTCATCTGCCATGGGAGCTATGTCTGGGGTGGCCAAAGGCTTCCTCCAGACAAAACATTTAAGAGCTTAGCCTGGTGCCCAGTCCTGGCTGCTGTGTCCCAGCCCTGTCCTTCTGAGGTTAGGCAAGCCAGGGCCAGCAGGCCAAGACCCAGTGTACATGGGCTGCTCAGTACCTTTTTGGGGGAAACATAGTGGAGCTCCCCCTGACAAAACCCTTGCCAATGAGGTTTTGTCAGGCACAGAACACCAATGACTGGAGCTAGACAAGGGAGACGACTCCTCAGAGATGCCAACTGGGCTGGAGGCAGTTCTGTGCACCCTGGCCACATCCATTCTCTTCCCACCTTCTGCGGAAGGCAGAAAATGCCTGGGCCAGCATCTGTGGTGGCTTTTCTGGGTCTTGAACCACTGCCTCCTGAGCTGGGACTTAATTACTATTGGTTCAAGATGGAAAGCGGCTGGACTGTGGGAGGCATTCTGGGCCTCTGTTGATGCTTTTGATTCCCCTGGGAATGGGAGAGGGGCTTTCCTGGCATAGTGACCATGTGGCCAAGGTGTCAATGCCCAAGAGAGCAACCTGGGCTTTTGAGGAGATTGAGGGACACATGAACTTGAAGCCCAGACTCCAAGACATGGCCAGCTAGTTAAACCAGATGGGAGAGAGGTGCAGGTATGGACGGCTCAAGGCCTTGGGAACGACAGTGAAGGGTACTGTTTGAGTCTAGGTGTCCATGCGTCCCTATGCCATCCCTGGCAAACCTGAGGTCTGAGGTGCAGGACAGGGACTGAGATGAGGGATTTGGTGGGGAGGGGAGACACTGGTAACAGATGGCAAATGGGGTGTGTGTAACATGTACAGAGGAAATAGGGGGAATGGGGGAGCAGACCCTTCCTGGCCTGAGGTCTGTATCCCTCTGGGAGTGAGTGGCACTACCTGGATCTTCTGAGTCTGGAGAGCAGAGTTCCTCTCCCTGCCCACTGTCTGTTTCCAGCAACCCTCAGGCAAGGGGTGCCAGGGACACCTAGCCAGTAGAGCAGAGCCAAGGTTCCAGAGTCCAGAGCTGGCCCTTCTCTGCCACCCCACCCATGCACCTGTCACCAGCTTTTCCTCCACAGGTTTCCCCTTGCCTCACAGAGGAAATAGTACTTGGGGAGTGGCCTGGAAGTCTTAGGGAGGCCACAATCCTCAATAGCCCTGCTGGTGCCTGAGCACACAGTGAAGGGTGGGCAAGAAGTGCAAACTTTCCCAGCTGTTCCTGGCTCACAGTCCTGTGAGGAAACTCCATGTTGTCTGCCAGCTGCCTGCCCCACCCTGGGTTGGACTGTCCTCAGTCCCATTCCCAGAGTGAACTGTCTCTTTGCTCCCAACTCTGCAATTTGACCCCTCCCCAGCTGTCTGAGGCCCCTTCCTCAACCACAGCTCCAGTGCCTGTATCTAATCTCTCTCCCTAGGCCTGGCAAAGAAAGGCTGGGAACCTAAGTCCTGGAAGACTGAGAGGAGCGCCCCCCCCACCAGCATACCTATTAAGTCCAAATATGTACTTACTGATGAAGAAATCAGGAGCCAGAGAGGGCAGGGGGCTTGCCTGGTCACACAGAAAACCTGTGGCAGACCTTGGACCACGTCCTCATACAGGCTGCTAAACACCCATTGACCCACGGAATCCTCTACTCAAAAGCCTCAACTCCTTGGCTCAAGAATTCCTTGACTCTAACCATGGAGAGTCTGAGGAAATCCTCATTTTTCCCTCTGCAAATGTGTTCTACCCTGGCTTAGGTGGAATGTGGGTAACGGTCTGACTTCTCCGAGCCTCTCTTCCCCTCTCAAGACAAGATGTGGTATGCGGCACTCAGGGGCTGTGATCAGTGCAAGGCTTGCAGCCTGGTCCAGAGGTCTTCCACAAGAAGGTAGGCTGGTTCCCATGGGCAGACAAGGCTTTCCTCCCTTCCTGAGTGCCTGCCAGGGGACCCCTAACAGGGTATTGAAGGGGCCAATGCAGGCACAGGCCAGACTGGGGAATCCAAATTCAAATCCAACCCCACGGCAGCTGCCTTGTTTCCTGGGGGCACTCAGTGTGCCAAGTGCTGTCTCCTGGGGAATCACTGGGTGGCACCCAGAGGAGAGGGATGGCAGCCAGCACAAGGCCTGGTCCTACCACCTGGAGCGCTGCTGTCTGAGAAAGGTGGAGGGAAGTCACAAGCTGGCCACAGCCTGGGATAACCTATCAGGCATCTCATACCAGCTCTGGAGAGGCCAGGCTGGGTGGAGGAGTGGTGGGAGCCTGAGCCCAGTGGTCTGGAGGTCACAAGGCTCTGTACAGGCCCCTGAGTGCAAACAGGCTCATCCTGAGGTTGCTTGTGCCCACCCCTTGGGCAAAGGCTGGAGGCCTTTGCTAGAGCAAGGCGCCAGGCCTGCTGAGCGGCTCCAACAGCTGAGGGTGGAATCTAGATACACAGGGCATCTGATGCAAGCTGGGTGCTCCATTCAGCGTAAATCTTCTCAGTGGCTCTGCTTGTTTCCATGGTGACCTGACAAGTGAAATTTTCCATCTCGGATGCCAAATGCCTGTGGATGAGGCAAAGCCTCCAAGGGTTACCAAATATAGACACAACCCAACAGGCCGTGGGGCCTGGGCCAGCAGTGGGTTCAGGGTGGGTGCCTGGACCCCTTGCCTGGGGGATGTCATGCCGGGCTTCTTGGAGACCCACTTTTCCTGTTTTTCCTAGTTGCAGGTGCACCCCCCTACCTCCTACCCTATGAGGGGTGGCGGTGGGAAGGTCCTGGCAATGCTGGGGTCCCTCAGTAGCCCAGATCTGAACCGCTGTTGCAGAGGGACTAGAAGGGATGTTTGAAGCCAGGAGGCGCCTAGGATAGGGTTCTCTAGCCTGACTGCCACCTGGGTTCCTATTTCCCTCCCTCTCCCAGGGATGCCTCTCCAGGGGCTTCTCCGGGTGACTCTGGGATGCCTGAGATCCTAAAGTGAGTCCTGGTCTCACTGAACAGGGAAGGGAGGGGAATTCTTGGAGAAGGGACTGCTGCTTGCTTTCACCTCGTAATACTCCCAGGATGTTCTGGCCAGGGCTCTGCCTGTGGGGAGGATAGGGCTGCAGTGACAAAGGAGTGGGACACCGAGGCAGGGCAGATCTTGACAGGACCCTGGACCCCCAAACCCCAATAGTGGGCATGGTGGCAGTGGATAGTGCCCAGGCAGCACTCACTCAGTCTGCAGCAGCTCAGGGTTGGGTACGCACTGGAGCCGGTGAGACAGCAGCTGGAAGGCGCTGCTCTGGGGTAGTAGCATGAGCAGGCCATACAGGGCCTTGATCAGGTATGGGTTGTTCTTCACATCCAGCAGTTGCAGACGTAGATCTGCAGTAGAACAGAAGGCAGGGGTCAGGGGTTCCAGCCCTGCTCTGAAACACCAAGCCCAGCACATTGAAACCATGCACCTGCAGCCCGAGGACTTGGCCTGGGTGTAGCTAGCCATGTCTGCTTACTCCTTATCCAGGAGGTCTCAGTCATCTCCATGATCTTCTCTCTCTTCTTACCTGCCCACCTGCCTGCCTGTCTGATCTTTCCAGCAATCCTCTCAGTCTGAGGACCCCTACACCTGCTGCTGGGCCTGGCCCACCTCCCCCAGGCTCAGCTGCCTCTCTGGTAGTAAGAGGTATGGGATGGGGTGGGGGTGGGGGCTGGAGAGTAACAGATTCCCCAGTTAGCTCTACACGTGCCAGCCCCACAGCTATAAATAGGGTAGGCTGGAGAGAAAGACGGTGGATTAGGGAGCAGTAAGGGAGGGAAGGATGAGAACATGCTTCTGGATGTAGTGAGACACATAGCAAAACCTGGAGAGCCTGGAAGTGCTTTTGCATACAGCCTGCTACCATGTCCAGAGAGGAGGAGTTGCACCCCCACCCATTCCAATCTGGGGTGCCTGGACTTGCTGGTGGCCTGCTGCCCTCCAGCTGCCCCAAGGCCCAACTGGACTGGAGACAGGTTCTCACTCCTGAGCCTTTGCAGAAGGATCATGGGCTCTCCTCCCTCTGTCTCTGGGCCTGTGGCAGGCATCCTTTGGGTATGATGATCACACTTTCTGAAGCAATGTGGAGCCTCCCTCACAGTGGCTGCAAAGGGCATCTGGGGGGATGCTGGGAACCTAAGTAGCCAGGACTTGGGGTTCAGGAAGCAGAGGACTGGCTGGCCTCTCCCAATCCTCTTAACACAGGAGGCAGGAATCACAAATGGAAACTTACATATATATATATTTGGAATTCATCCCAGTTTCCTGACACACAACTCTTAAAAGCCTTGGAATCTCTGAAACAAGGGTCTTTTGTATGCTATGAGTGAACTGATAGCTGACAGTCCTCAGGTAGCTTCAGAATGGGGCTGATCACATGAAGGAAAGACCCAGGCAGGATCAGTGAAGGATTGAAGGTTGAGTTGACTACCAATGGTCAATGACATAATCAGTCATGCCTAAGTAATGAGGCCTCCATAAAGACCCAAAAGGACAGGCTCAGAGAGCTTCCTGAAGAGTGGTGGACCCCTCCCACACACCTCGCCCCCCCAGTACCTTTTCATCCATACCCTTTATAAGGTATGAGCTGCTCCAGCAAGCTAATCAAACCTAAGGGGAGTTTTTACCTGATCTACAGTACAGGTAAAATAACCCAGAGCTTGTGACTGGCATCTGAAGTGGAGGGGAGCAGTTGTGGGGACTGAACCCCAGCCTGCAATCTGATGGGGTCTGTAGGTAGACAGTGTCAGAAGGGAATCATGTTAGAGGATGCCCATCCTGTGTCCTCTGCAGGTACCTTGCTTGCTGGTGTAGAGAAAGGCCCCCACCTGTGGGGCTCACAGGAGAGTTCTGTGGTGACTGCTGAGGTATGCAGGGGAAACTGTTTTTGCCATATGCATGGCTCTGGAGAAACATGAACATTTCCAGTCTTTTCTTCCCTTGGGCCCTGGGAAAACTGGGCCTGCAACCAGTCAGTAGGGTCCAGGCAACTTGGCTGGGATGGGCTCTAGGCAGAGACCAGGGGTGATCTCTGCTGCTGGTACCTTTCCCAGCAATGACTGTGCCTGGGAGAAGCTGTTCACAGCATCATTTTGGTCGGCATGGACCTGACCTCAGTTGAGTGGTACCAGGCCCTCCAGGAAGTCAGATGGCAAGTGGGAGCATCCTTGGGACAGGCTGAAGTATACTTGGCGGAGAGACAAGATCTGCCTCCAAGACCTGAATCACTGTAGCACCTGCTGCTTGGAGCAGCTGGGAGTGGGGCTCCCTGAGCTCCTGCATTTGCTTTCAGGCTCCAGAGTGAAGACTGATGGCTCAGACTGGGTGGGCCAGAGATGCTGCCGAGAGAGTTGGAGGTTTGGGTGGCTAGTTTGGCTAGCCTCCTGCTTCTCTACTACACTGTAAACACATGGTGTCATTCAGTGTTGCCTGCTTTGGGGAGGAGCACTGCATGTGTTGAGGTGCTAAGCACTCTGGCTGCTGCCACTTCTGCACGTTCAGCCTGGGTGTTATACACAGGGCAGTCCCTGCTCATCAGTTTTAGTGCACACCATCTCTTTCAGAGGAGATAGTATAGCTCCTGCGTAAACAGGAACATCTGCAGAAGCGACCACTACTGTAGAGCCAGGGCAGAGAGGGGCAGGCTGGGGAGAGGTGCCTGGGGACAGCCCTAGGGCAGGGCTTATGTTAACCATGAGATGTAGCTGGACAAGATGGTACACCCTATAATCTCAGCACTTAGGAGGCTGAGGTAGGAGAATTATAAAGTCATTATAAAGTCAAGATTGAATTTGAGGTCAGCTTGGGCTACAAAGTGAGATCCTTTCTCAAAAAACCTACAAACAAAACATAGGACCCCCACACCCCCCCTGAAAAAAAAGAAAAGAAAAACCACAACCCTTCAGGTGAGTTTTGTATCAGCACTGGCATGTGTCCACAACACCCTTAAGGACACAGGCAGGACCGAATTCTGAAGCCAAGTGCCCCAGCTCTGCTTCAGCTGGCCTTTTAGCCCTATCATCTCCAGTCTTACATTCTTGACATTCTAGAAGCATCTCTGGGGTGACTGCCCTTCTTCCCTAGCTCCAGCCAAGAGCCCATCTCTGAACCTGGCCCCACCTCCACCTCAGTCAGAGCCAGCTGAAGGCCATGACAGGCCTATGGCCATGCCAGACAATGATCTAAACTCAGGACTCTCACATGTGAAGATGGGGCACTCTATCAGCTGCACCAGCTTGTCCACCTCTGTGAGGAAGTCCACAGTGACCTCTAGGTCCCCGCTGGGTGGGCAGTTAAGGAAAGTCTCCAAACTGGGCCAGCATGCCCTGTATCTGTGAGGTGGCAGATATTGGACCCTAGGGGCCCAAGCTAACTCAAGCTCAGAGCTTGGAGTATTCCTCCTCTCTGGCCCTGGCTTCCTGGGCAGAGCCTGGTTCTCACTAAGTAGGAAGTGATACACAAAGGACAGATGTCTGTTTTCCTCTTTGCTTTTCTGTCCCTCTAAATGGAATGCATGGCTGTCCCTCCTGCCCAGCACTCTGGTTCCACTCTGGCAGTTGTCTCTTCTGTGCCCTTTTGGCCTGGAAAGGCTCTTCTCACAGCTCTGCAGCCTGTCAGAGGACAGCTGGGCAGGAGAGGCCCCTCTCCTGCCTCAGAGGTTAGCCTCCACCAGCCCCAGCAGGCCAACAAAAGCATGCGGGGCTGGGCTGTGGCCTCCGAGACTCTAGGTCACAAGAGTGGTCAAGGGGGCAAGTTTAGGGTGTGGAAGGTCAGCAGCCTCCCTGACAGGAGCCAGTCAAGGGTCAGCCACACCTGACCATCACTGAGGCCTCTCGAAGCCCCTCTTTCTTTAACACCTCCCCCCGCCCCCTGCTACTCCAGCTCCTCATCCATCAGCACAAGAAGCCGGTCTTGCTTCCTAATAATTCAGGGTCAGCCTTCACACACCAAGCTGTTTTGTTTAAAAAAACCTGACTGTGGATGCCTTTCAGCCAGGCAGGTGATATGGTGTTCATGGCACTCCTTCCCTTCCCAAGGGCTCAGGCTTCTTCTGTGTCATTGCAGAGCTTGCTAGGTCCTGGCTCTGTGGCCTCTGGAGTCCACCACCTGAGTTCAAGCATAGGCCTCACCTATGCTTGCCTGAGGCACCTAACATGTTTTGGTGCCCAGGTCTTCTCCATCCCCAACTCTGGGCCTGTCATAAAAGTGCTAACAGTGGCTGGTAGGAGCTGCAGTGGGCAGAGTTGACTACCCACTGAGGGTCTGTAGTCCCATCCCCACTCCCATTTCTCCTGGCCCAGTTCCCTTCCAAGGGCTCTCTTTGCTGCCAACAGAGCTCTCCCAAACACTGCCCCTGGCTGGGTGGCTCTACCATCACAAGCCCTGGAGGCCTAGTGGAGGTCCCGAATGGTAGTAAGAGAAGGATACAACTTCTGGATGAGGTCATACGCATGCCGGTAGTTCTGGGTGAGGAAGCAGAGGGATACTGTGGTGACTGGGTTGTGGCACCAGGAGCGGTACAGGCAGCAGAACAGGTTCTGGCTCTCCTGAGGAGAAAGGTGCAGCAGTTAGGTGTCCCCCTCACCCCCCACCCACAGACCCACTTGGGACCTATGGAGGGAAGGTCCTTGAGGGGTGGCAAACTGGGCCCTTGGGAGCAGCTGGGGTGCCAGCTCAGCACCCGGCTGTGTTTGGTAGCCCAGCTGGGAACGAGCTGTCACAAAGGAAACGCTGACAGCTCCTCCTCAGACCCTGTCATTACCTCCGGGCCCCACAGAGCCACGTGGTGGTGGCAGTGAGGGTCTGGTCGGGAGCAAGCCTACCCTTTGTAAGCTGGCATTTCTGCCTACAGCAAAATGACAGTAATTGTCCTCCCCAGGACTCTGTGGTCCTGGAGCCCGGGGTTGGTGTGGGGGAGGTGTATGCTAGAAGATGCTTTCTCAGGGCCCACGTCTCCTCTCCATCCTCAAATGCCATCTCCTCCCCACCTCAGCAGCCACCTTGTGCACGTGGTGTACTCGGAAACCAGCCCAGCAGCTGGGCCTGCACTTTGGGGAGCTCCTGCCCGAGGAAAATTCTTAAGGTCTATGGGAATGTCTGGAAAGAGCCCCAGGAGGAAGGCAGGGCTGTGGCCTGGATCATTCCGAGCTGCGTGGCCCCAGACGCCCTCAGAATGGTGTTGGATGGCCTTCAGACTCCTAGGGAAGTCTTCTGGAGAAGACTCTGCAGGGGAAGAGGGGAGCTGACTCAGGCCCAGACTAGGGAATAACTCCCTAGAGCTCCTACAGCCAGGATGGCACCAGGTTCTGCAGCCCAGAGGCAGCCTAGGCCCTTGGTCAGGTCACATGGGGCCTGCAATTCACATCATTCCCCATCCTGCAGTGAGTACCTCCCAGCTCTGTTTGACTAGTCCTTGGCCTTCCCCAAAGCTGGGGACGGGAAGCAATGTGACACTATGGCTTATGATAGGCATTTTATGAGACAGATGTGTCCAGCTGTGGGAGAGGGGCCAGGGCAAGGAGAAGGGCAAGGAAAGCAATTAACCCCTGGCTCCCTGGGAAGACTATGATCCTGACCTGAGACAGGGGCTTCAGAGTCAGCAGAGTCTGTTTTCTGAGGGCAGGGATGGGTGGGGTGGGAGTCAATGAGAGGAAAAGGCTGGGCTGTTGGCAGGTCAGGAAGTGCATGGGGACCCTGGATCAGGCTTGGAGCCTTCTCAGGCAGAGATCTTGACAGCAGTGGTACACTCTGTGGGTTTCGCTAACATGTAGCCATTCTTTTAGGGGTCTGTATTTTATATGAGACCAGAGAAGATCCCTACTTCATCCCTGTCCCTCCTCTGAGTCTCCTGGGATAGCTGACGGGTGGCTAGGTGCCCGTGTGCACACAGACCTAACCCTGGGGTTGGTGCCCATAGGCATGAAGTACCAGAGTCTTCAGGTCCTTGAGCTGGTTCCTCAACTGGAAGAGCTCAGCAGAGGTGAGTAGAATGGTGTTGAGGGTGTGCACCATGGTGGAGGCGAACTTGAGGTCCTCCTCCCGGAGCAGGATGTCTGCCATTGAGTGGAAAATGTTCTCTGCATTCAGCAGGAGACAAAGCTGCCTGGAAAACAGGTGGAATGGCAATTAGGTTCAGGTGGCCGAGACACTTTTGGGTCTCAACTTGGGAAGCCTCCTCTTAGTTTTTCAGTGTCCTGGGGAAAATGTGCTCTTTCCTAGGCTAGTGTGGGGCCCTGACACAGGCACACAGTAGGGGGAATAAGGGATGTTCATAGGAGTCCTGGCTCTGTGCCTCCCAACACCTCCTACACCAGCCCAGCTACCTGAGCTCCACAGGCTATATTTACCTATCTCTGGGTTTCTGGCTACCAGGGATGTCAGAGGGCCCCCAAGTTACCTTCCTGAGTCCCCATATACAACAACAGGGCCCCACATGCCAGCATCCTTCTGCCCCTTGTGGACTTTACTTATCTTGGCAGATCTCATCTTCACCTGAGAAATTCTCCAAGTAGGGGTCATGCGTTCCTGTCATTTCCAAAAAAGCCCCGCTGTGGTCAGGGGTGTGTGCTGTTCACACTGTATCCCCTGCCTGGAGTGATGGCTGCAGGTGGCAGGGGGCCAACAGGCATTCATGGACTCTTATGACAGCCATGAGCTTTATCTTTCCAGCACAGATGAGGAAACTTGTGGGGGGAGGGGAAGAAGCTGAAGCAAGGTGGCAGGACTGGGTAAGGCTAGCACCTGGCTCCACTGGCCCTCAAATCTTTCTTCTAGTAAGAGTCGTCGGGGTAAGGATTGGGCTTTGTGGGAAAAGTATCTCCATGTTATAAAATAGGAGCCCAGGGAATGAAGAAAAGTGAGTTTTCCATGGTCCCTGAGGCAAAGTGACTGCAATGGTGATAAGATCTTGGAAAGAGTCTCAGAGGAGCCTGTTGACCTTTCCATGGGGCCCCCATGCTGTCAGAGGCCCAGTCTTGAGGGGAAGAGCACCCCAAAGCCACCTGTGTAATAGTCTCTTAGCTGGCATGAGCAGGAGAGGGCAAAGGGCTGGTGGGGGTGGGCAGGTGGCGTAGTGCTTTAGTGCTTCCTGCTGGTGGTCCCTGGTCTGTGGTCTGAAGCTGATGTTGTCTGTTTGACTCCTACTCCCTGCCCAAGCGAGTCATCACCACAGACAAGGGGTGAAGGTCTCAATGGCATGAGCCACACTTTAAGACATCATGCCTACTTCCTCCTAGGCATTGAGCTTGTATAGAACACAGTTTGCATTATCAGGGCCTCATTTCCTGCTTCCTTCTGACTACCAGTCATGGCTTTGTGACCAGACTAAAGAAGATTCCACCCCATTCCCAGCTCTGGAAAAATCCAAGCATTTGGTAATGGAGAGGCCAAACCACGAAGTGCAAACAATGGGCAGGCTGTTTCTAGCCTAGTCCTGGTTGGAACCAGTGGGCTTGGGCAAGAAATCCAAATGAGGCTTAGGCACAGTAGGGGGTGGGGTGGTGGACAGTGTGGGAGCTGGGAGGTGGACACACGAACAAGGGGCCACTTCCTCTCTGTTGCACAGACTTGCCTGGTGGCTTTCCAGTACTGATGGGCAAAGGCCTTAGAGCCTAGTGGCCCCAATTCCAGCTGCATCACTCAGTGTCTCTGCACAGCAACTACTTCATCTCTTTAGTTGGGGTAATACCTGTCTGGAAAATGGAGGGAACTACCAAAGGGCAGCTGGGAGGACTGCAGCTATCTCATGTGAGGTATGTGGTGTTCAGTACATGGCACACAGGGCCCAGAGCCCCTAGGTGGGCGACCTGCCTATGCTGCTTCAAGATATGGTGGAAGGTGGTAGCCTTTCTGCAGAACTCAGATAAGACTTCCTGTCCTCTCCCAGTCCCTACCCCTAGAGCCCTGTCTCCAAGGCTATGGGACAGAAATGTTCCAGAAGGGCAGGCTGGGGAGAAGGGGAGTGCTCTGACAAATGGTCTCAAGTGCCCGTCGCCCACAGCTGCTGCCGTCTCCATGACAGAGGCCAACAGCTGAGCTGCTGCCAGGCAGCGCTCTCCAGGGACCCGGGCTAGCCCGGCAGGACCTACAGCAGCCAGAGGGTGGGGCCCTCTCATCTGAGGATGGGCTGGGAAGGGTATGGGTGAGGAAGGGTGGGCATCAAGGTCTCCTGGTATTCCAGAGAACCTGGGGAATGCTGAGGGTGCTACAGGTCAGAGATGGCAAAATTTTCTGGAAACACTCTCTTGTCATCAGTGATACCACCCTCTCCTGGTTTTCCTCCACCTTGCTGACTGCATCCCCTCCGGTGAGGTTGGGGTGTCCCTCTGCTCTTCTCTGGTCTGTGTCTCATGGTGTCTTGGGGTCCCATGGATATGTTCAAAGCTGCCTGTAATCATTAATTCTCATCATGCCTCTCCTGCCCTAAGCTCCACTGAGCTCCCAGAGGCTAAGTGCTTGCAAGTGAACGACCCTGCCTGTACTTGACAATTTAAGCTTTGCAGAACCACAACCACTCTTCCAGACTAGTCTTGCCAGCATAGTCAATGGTGTCACTGCCCACCCAGCTGCTCAAGCCACACCAAGGATTTCCCATCACCAGTGCTTCCATCAGTCTAGCCACAGGCCCTGGCTCTGCCTTCTGAGCACTTCCTTCCTACCTCAACCTTGTCCCACTCAGCCACCACTGCCCCTGGGCAAGTGCCAGCTGTCTCCGGGGTCAATCCCAACCCATCTCCCTGCTGCTTCTCTCACACCCACAGAGGTGGTCTTAAAAGGTCATATCTCCCCTGCTTGGGCCTCATTAGTGGCTTCTTGCTGGACCTAACATAATGTCCAGCTCTTGCCACCACCTACAAGACATCATGTCTGCTGTAGCTTCCTCTCCAGCTTCAGCTCCTACACCTTTTGCCCTAACAGCCAAGACTTTCCTTCTGTTCTGGATTTCACCATACCTACCATGCCTTGAGGCTTTGCTGCTCTGCCCGTGCCTGGCACTGGCATACAACTGGCTCCTCTGGCCATGGAGGTCTCAGCTTTGTTTGGGTGCTGATGAGGCCTCATTGTGACCGTCTTTTCTTCCTGCCAGTCCCTTCTAAGTGCAGGTTCTACTTTTTAGAGCATTCCCATCTGTCTTTTGCACTAGAATGTGAGTTGCAAAGGCAGGGCCTTATCTGTGACCCTTGTGTGCCTCAAACAAGAGGGCCTGGCATGTAGCAGCTGCTCTGCCACCATGTTGGATGCCGCCGTGTGAAGGGACCTTGCTCATCTTGTTCAGATACTCCTATCCCCGCTCTGGCACGTCTCTCTGCTCACTTCAGGCAGGTTCGTGCCCCTTGCGCGTCATCTGGTCTGTAGAGAGCAGCTGTCCTGATTTACACTTTCACCTCCTCCTGCCCTGCTGAGGAGATCTGGCCCCGGGAGGCCAGATGATCCCAGGAAGATTCTGGAGCGTGTTTCCATGGCAGCCTGAAGAACTGGCAACAACACATGGCACCAAGTCTCCCGTATTAGTAAGCCTTGTGTTACTGTAACGAAGCAACTGAGGCAATTAGCTCCCTTTCACTCCAAGGCTGGTGGTCTTATTACTTTGGGTCTCTGTTGATAGCAGCACTTCACAGTGGCAGCATGTGACAGCAAACTGCTTATATCACAAGTCAGGAGGCAGAGAAAGACTGAGAGATGAAGGTCCTGCAGTCCTCTTCAAGGGCATGTCCCCAATGGCCTAAGGACCTCCCATAAGGTCCTATCTCTTAAAAGTCCACAGCACCTCCCTGGGGACCAAGTCTTTAATGCATGGACCTTGGGGGGACACTATATGCAAATCACGGCACCTCCTCACTAGGAGTCTCCTCACTGAAAAGACCAGAGAGGAGTGGGGAAGCTGAAAACAGGTACCCACAGTACAGCAGTACTCAAAGAGCACCTGCCCTGGCCTGACCTTAGACCCTCATGCTCTGAACATTTGCTGCTACCCTGCCCCAAGAGGTCATAGGGAAGGACCTGGAGGGGCTGCTCCAGGGCCACTGGCTATCAGGGTTCTGCCCACGGTGGCTCCACTCTGTGGCTGGGACAGAGGAAAGGGAAAGAGAGCAGGAGGGGAAGGCACCCCTGCTTTACCCTCAAGGTCACCTTACATTTGGGGAGGACAATACTACCAAGGCAGCTGGGTCACAAAACCTCAGGAATATGGGAACACAGCTGGGCACTCACTAGTGGATCATGCTTGCAATCCTAGCTACTTAGGAAGCTGAGATCGGAAGGATCACGGTTCAAGTCCAGCCCAGGCAGACAGTTCATGAGACCTCCATCTCCAAAATAATGAGAACAAAATGGACTGGAGGTGTGGCCCAAGCAGTAGGGCACCTGCTTTGCAAGCATGAAGCCCTGGGTTCAAACCCCAGTTGCATTAAAAAAAAAATAAAAAAGAATGGCAGTGACAGCACTAACTAGGTCAGGGCACTAACTTGGTAGATGCCAGATGTGGTATGAATCTGCTTGGATCCAGTCAGGTAGTGATGGGAAGAACAGTGGCTCCAGGCCTGTCTCAAGTGGTCACCAGGTTCAAGATGCTGTCCTAGGCCCCACACAGGAGGGGAGGGTGAGTATGGAGAAGTCAACCTGCCCTGTCTTAGCCCTGATGCTCATATCTCTTCTTTCATCAAGAAGGTGGAGAGGGGGGAGGAGGGCCCACTTTTCACTGTAACCCCAAATCCATGACAGGATGTACACAGGCAGCCTCAGTTTCTACATGCCTGGTACCAGGCTGTGAGCTTCTCCTGGGGCTTTTGGCTGAGTCCTCACATAATCTAGGCAGTATATACCCTCTTCCTCCCCACCACATACAGAAAGAAGAGGAGTCTGAGATTCAGAAAGGACTCACACTGCTACTCAAACAGCTGACTGGGGAAGAGGAAGGGAGGATTCAGATTCAGAAGAGTCAGCTTCCAGAGCCTGAGTTCCTCCTCAGCACTCCTCCTCCTCGGTGCCTGTCCCTGCCCAGTGGAGGCCTGGCAGATGGCTGCCTCACAGTGCTGCTGCGTCATCACTTCTCTGTTGAGCCCCAGCCGGGCTTGAGCTGCCTGCCTGGCTCTCAAGCATAGCGTC